ATGTCATCTTTTAGTTGTTGTTAAGAGCTGATAAAAAGGTTCTCTACTTAATTAAAAGAAAGGCTTTCCCCGCACATACACTCTCTCTCTTTAAATTTCTATCTCTCTTTCTCTCTTCGTCCTGTGCTTTTCCTACATCAGACAAAAACTTACTGGCTAACTAATATTTGTTTTAGTGGAACCCTTGAGATCAACTGCTCCAAGGAAATAAAAATTCAAGGAATTATTGGACCTTGCACATCATTGGAAAAGGTTGGATCACTTGATGTTTGAAATTTTGTATTTCTTATGCTCAATAAGACACCAGATTTGGAGTTTGTGTTGGATCTTCAAAAGTAGGACTAAATTCAATTAAAACTTACAATTCTGGACTTTGATGGCGTCAACTGCATACTGCAGAAAGGGCCTTCAGTTGCTGATACTGTGATAGGAGAGGGGAATACAACAGCATGGAAGATTTGCGGCCTTGACAAGAGTACTTGCTTGACAGTGATGTTTGATCTTTCAACGAATGATCGTTCAAACAATCCAGGAACCATCAACCCACAGTTTTACCTACAGTTCCTTACAAGGTAAGATGGACAATCCTTTTCCCCACAAGAAAAAAGAGGGATTCAAGACAAAACAATTTTATACCTCTTTTATCTTCCTTGCTTGGTATCTAATATTATTCGGTGATGTCCGTATTGCAGTTACCAGGGTCCTGATGGTCAGTTAGCTCTTCGTGTAACAACAGTAACTAGAAGATGGGTAGATAATGCTGTTAACTCTGAGGTAGTTGTAGTTGCTTTATCTTTGTATATGAGCAGCAGCTGTTCATTTTTCAATACTTGAAAAATGGATTGATCTTATATGTTTATTCTAATTATAAAATGAAGTTTTTCCCCTCAATGCATTTTTCTCCCCGCCAAGTCATTTGCTCATTTTGCACTCAATTGGATATCTTAATGATTTTACATTTGGGCACATTCATTGTGTGAGACAAACTATATATTAGCTGAGTCCTTACATTGTTAGGACTATCTTCTCTTGACAAACAATCTAATAAGTTGATTAGTTTGGCTCTAATTACTCCCAATGTATAAAAGATGGTTTTTCTTGGTTTCTGCAATCTATGTGACTAATGCCGCATGTCCATTTATGCTGAGTTTCAGATGTCCAAAAATTGTATGGGATTTAACTGTATCAGGAGAGGTCATGTAGTTTAATCAAAATTTCTGCAAGCTTTGATTGACAAGTTTTGATTCTTTTGTTTTGTGTAGTTTGTAGATCCAATAGTCCTTGTTTAAACTAAATTACATGCATCCAAAGTGCATAGCATGGTGAGGAGCCTAGAAGGTTGATGTTAATGATTGGGGAGTAGATTTGCAAATGTGTTCTCACAGTTGGGATGTTATTATCTTCTGTCTTGCGTGCTTGAAGGAAGGATTTTTTGTGGTTTACTTTTTAAATTTTGCCATTTGTTTATTTATCATAAGAAAATAACAATGTTGGGTTTCTTTTGTATCTACCTTTCATTGGTGGACTACTGTCTTTTTGTCAACAAAATGCAATTCTTAATTTATAGCACTCTTGCTAAAAAATGGAAATACTTGGGTTCAGGAACTGGTAGAAGGATTTGATCAAGAAACAGCTGCAGTTGTAATGGCTAGATATGCTTCTCTGAAAATGGAGATGGAGGTATGTCTCAAATTATACTGTCATGTTGATCTCCTTGGTATTCCTAAACTATATCATACCATTTTTTGTTCCATGCTAGACAACTTTTTTCTTGAGTTTCTGTAGTGTTATGTTCTTTCAATCAGGGGAGGCCTAAAATTTGGAGAAACGTTTGATATTTTTATTGTGTAAATTTCACTTTTGGGACCATTTGTCGTATCTTCTGAGACCCTAGTTTTTAGCCCCTTTTGAGTTATAAATTTGAGTGAACGAGTTTTGAGCTACTTTTCTCTCACTTTTTCTTCTGTGATCATTATTTTTCTGTATTCAAAAACTGATTGTGTCATTATTCTACTGTATTGCTTATTTTTGTGCCACAAATAAATATTTTTAAACATGCCCTTGTTGGGCATATATTCTTGTTAAATTTAAGTTTTAATTTAACGTTTTTGACTTTCAACTGAATTGCTTTGCTAAGCATCCTTTTTTGTTTTCCCAGGAAGCATTTGATGCCACACGGTGGTTAGATCGACACCTCATTCGTCTCTGTTCAAAATTTGGAGACTACCGCAAGGATGACCCATCATCATTTACATTGAACCCATCATTTTCATTGTTCCCTCAGTTTATGTTCAATCTGCGACGATCACAGTTTGTACAGGTGCCATGTGTAGTGATTTTCCTCCTCGTCCAGCTTTTCAAACTTTTTTGTTGTTTAACTTTGGGACATGGGGGTGAACTGTGTTGGCAGGTTTTTAACAATAGTCCAGATGAGACTGCCTACTTCCGCATGCTGTTGAACAGGGAAAACATTAGTAATGCTGTTGTCATGATTCAGCCATCTTTAATATCATATTCATTCAATTCACTGCCTGCACCGGCATTGTTGGATGTATCTTCCATTGCTGCTGACAGGATTCTGTTACTAGATTCATATTTCAGTGTCGTTCTTTTTCATGGGATGACAATAGCTCAGTGGCGCAACTTAGGATACCAGAACCAACCAGAACATCAGGTATATGCTGGGACACGTTTAACAAACTAAATAATTGTCACCTGTCTATGCTGCTGTCAAATTGGTCTTGAATGCCTTTACAATATTCGAATTGGAAGCTTTATTAGCTTACTGTTTCCTTATGATGGAAGTTGGGGTTCTGATCAGAGCTTTATTGTATAGTTATGTACTCAGGTTCCGGGGTCTCATGTACCTCTGCTCTTTTTCTTCTTCCCTAACAGTTTTTAAACACATCGCAGGCATTTGCACAACTATTACAAGCTCCACGTGATGATGCTCAAGTCATCATCAGAGATCGTTTTCCTGTTCCCAGATTGGTAGTTTGTGATCAACATGGTTCCCAGGTCAGTAGATGAACTTGAACCAGAACCGGTTTCAATGTTCATCTCCCTGATCGTTGGTATGTTATTGGTCCATTCTGATTGGGTTACGAGAGTCTTACTGGGGTTTTATTGATGTGGAACAGGCTAGATTTTTATTAGCAAAGCTGAACCCCTCGGCAACATACAACAATGCACACGAGATGGCCGCTGGTTCAGATGTGATATTCACTGATGATGTGAACCTTCAAGTCTTCTTCGAGCATCTTCAAAAGCTGGCTGTCCAATCTTGAAGAGTTGATGGTAGAGACTGACAATGTTTCCAAGTCTTGGACTTTGATTGGAAAATTCACCCGGGATGTGTCCCGTCGCATTGTGAATTGTGATGTTACATTCAGTTATATTCCTTTCCCTGTTCCCAGAGGAAATTAGAGGCCCATGCCAATTGAAGAATAAGGAAAGTAAATCTGAAACGCGTGATTCTTATGGGGTTTCCGATCGGGTTGTTTGGGAAAATAAGGCTTCAAAAGTTTGTTGAGTTTCGGGTGAAAATGTGGAAAGAAAGGATCATGGGGAATGCCAGAGATAGCTTTGCAGCAACTAGATAGATGAGGCCATGAGGGGATATTTTTTGTCTTTATAGTTTTGATCCAATTATGAATTTTGGGTTTTTTTTCCCTTCGGATTTATTTTTATAATTTGCGCTTGCTTGCTCCCCAGGTTACAGAGTAGTGAAAATAGATCATTGTCTTATCATTGGAGTTTGATATCACGTCTTCTCTTCCCGATTTCATCATTCTTTCAGTCATGTGTCTGTTGAATTTAGCACGCGCGCAGCTCATCACCATTGTATTAAAAGAATGCGTGTGGAGGTACAGTATTTTATTTCAATGGGCTATTATGACGGCCTGGATTCTTGTGCATTTGATTTGATACAGATTAAGATGTGCAATAAATATATAAAATTATTAAACTTGTCACTCATTTATTTTTATAAAGTTACCACTTATTTTAAGGATAAATTCATAAATGTTATTTAAAGTTCTTAGAAAAAATTTCTAAAAATTTGTGGCATGTGCCATTTGTCCAAGTGCATCGTCAAGGCATCGCCATGCGCCTATATCCTTCACATCAATTAAGCTTTTTCTTCTCCAGCAAAAGGTTAAGTTGCCTGGGGCCCAAGAATGTTTCGTTTCTTTTAGATTTCATGGTTATGGAAAATTTGCCAGAAATATTTAAAAGTTATAACATATATTAAGAATCACTTGGGGCCAAAAAAAATATTTACATTAACTGTCAAGTCAAAGTGGAATGATGTTTCTGCAAATTCACTTTTATTGTTGTCTTTGTTGCATGTAATTCCATTTTTCAGGAATTAAAATAGAATCAGAATCACAGGAGTTGTCATTTTATATGAACACTCCTAATTTTTAATGACAGAAAATTAAAAGGTAAAAAAGAATCACGAGGGTGATTGTTGTAAAATTATGCATGTCTCATGAATTTTACATGAGAAAAGTATTGTTGACCGTACAAAGCATGCAATAGATTTGTATATTATAATTCCTCGTAAATCGTATCATACGAAAATAAAATAAGAGGTTATGTTAATGTGTAGTGACTGTTCACGGTTTTCTTGAAATTTTCTCGAAGATTTTCAATTCTAAAAATATAAAGAGGAATAAGAAAAAAACAAAACTATCTTTTAAATTATATATAAGATAAGGATTCTTTATTAACGTTTATCTTCCTCGTCAACTTTGTAAGTATCATTAGTGCAGAGTTGGTTCGCTAAACGCATCCTGTTGTTTCGTTCAAACTTTCAAATCGATAATAGTGATGACAAATATAATAAACAGAAAAAGAAAACATAAGAAATGAGGGATGAGATGTTACTGTGAAATCAAAAATTAATTTCTTCACGGCTTATAACTAGTACGGGCAGCGAGTTTCAACTACATACCCCTAAACAAAACAAACAACATGACACATTAAAGCAAAGAAGATCAATGTTGTTGCGGCAACGGTAATGTTGCAGCACCGTCACCACAAGAACAAAGCGTATCAGAGTAGGCAGTAAAGCGAGTCGTGTGGCATCCAAAGCCATGCTCACAAATTTCTTCAAGCTTCATATAATTCTCTCCTCTCAATCCATATCCATAAACCTTCTCTTTTGTTGCAAAAAACAATTGCTCGCCGTTCATAACCGTGAATCCTGTCACAGCGATAGGATCTTCTTCTTTCATACCCATTGCCTTCACTCTTATTTTCAAAATCTTTCTCCACTTGTTAGCCTCGTAATCAGTTAAAACCCATACAACAAAAACTTTCTTTCTTAATCTCACCAAACAAATTGACTGATTTGAACTTGCTGATTTCCCCCATTTGTATATTCTCATTTGGCAGGTCAAGTGCTGAGATCCAGCCTTAGCTTCTCTTGGGATTCTAAGCATTCTTGAACTTCCATCTTCAATGCTGTAAGCCATTATATATGGCTTCTCCCTAGAAAAACCATAACAAATGGACATGAAGTGAAGGGCTTTTTTATGATAAACGTGCGTGTCAAATATCAGGGGTCTATCACCAATAAAGAAGCTTGTTTCAATCCCTTTCCACATAGCCTCTTTTGCAGAGTAGAATTTCACGTCATGGTATTGAGAAGCCCAATCATCTTGAACTTCAAATAAAAAAAGCATGAAATCGTTTGAATCTTCAAGACTACACTCCAATACAATTTTCAAATCAGCACCAGGATATTTTTTCAGATAGTCTGGAGTGGGAATAGGAATCCATGACTGTGTTACCGGATTACAAATGAATAACTCTATATTACTCCGACCAAGAATCAAGCCATTACTTGAATCCACAATCCTACAAGCCGGGTATTGTTCTAAAAACTGTAAGAACTTATCAGAGACACCAGAGATCAGGTTCTTTGTAGATGAATGATGAAATTCATGTTTTGCACCATAGCTCTGACCCCATTTTGGTTGGAGAAAGAAACATGAATCATCATCCTTTGACAAGGAATTGTGAACCTGCTTCTGGACAAAATAAATCTCTTTTGAAGTGGAAGTGTTGAAGAACTTGTTGACACATCTAAACTTGCAGATAGACTTTGCAGGTAACCAAGAGAAGATTTCAAGCAACACATCATCTGGCATGTCCATAGCTGCTGAATCAACAAAATAACAAGTTAGCGAGTTTTGAAAAGGAAGGGTGGGAGGGAACCAGAATATGATGTCAACAAAAGTCTCTAACTTGATTCGGTATTATGATCTATCTTGATTTCTATTATAGTGGTGGGTATGTATGAACCATGATTCATACAACTGGTTGAGATAAGAAAAAGGAAATTACAGTAGTTTAACGTAATTGATCATTGATCCATCGGATCTAAGATAGATTAGGAATAGGAAATGCGTGATAAAAAAAGAATGGATTAGGAAACTTATTCAATAATATATATTAGAAAATTAAATCACCTTTTCTGCAAATATTAAATTAAAAAATAAATCCCATAAGATATTTGACAGGTTTGGCCTAACAAAAAAAATTAAGCTGAAAGGGAAAAATAGAATATTTAATTTTTAAAATTTAAAATATGCATCCTTGAGTGCACTATGTTTAAATCAATACGTGTATTCAGGGGGAAAAAATCTTGTGATAAAATATATTGGAGAACATGTTATTTACAAGTCATGAACAAATAATGCTCATATAACTTACCTGAGGAGAAAATATGATAGATGAGCCTTGCGATTGAAAACTCTCTGAGAAAATTTAGAAGCCTTCTTCAGTCGTAAGCCTCGACTTTGAATTGAATAGAGACTCGCAATAATCTTCTCACGTTTACTTACATTCACAAGTCAGGATATATTTATAGGCAAGAATTATTATTTATCTTGCTAATTTTCTAACTCAAAAATTACAATATCCGATAATAATTTTTTATCTTGACCAGAATCTGATAAGGATTGAACGCTAAGATCTTTATGACGAGAATATTTGAATTTAAACTAATAAATAAAAACGTATTGATCGTTATCTTTATTTAAATTTTAATTTAAAATATTAAAAAATGAAAATACAATTTAAATTAAATTATAATGTATAAACTAAAAACACTTGTTTCGCTACAAAAGTTCCATGCTCGCTGGCTCGCTGCTTTCCTCGTTCAAATAAAATTTTAAATATTTTTTATCGTAAATCTATCATTATATTTTTATCAATATATAGATTATCAAATTCATAATCAACTTCATTTTATTATCTATATTTTTATCATTGTTATTTAATTTTTTAAATGATTATATAGTTATTAAGACAATGATTAAACTTTTGTGCTTACAAAACAATTATGAGTGATTTTGTTATTAGATGTTTATTTTTATGTTTTTCTAAGACTGTTTGCTTGAATTAAATAGATTAAATTTAAGAGTTCAGTTGAAATATATTAAAGTTATAAGTTAAAGAGAAGAAAAATACTTAAATAAATCAAGTATATTACGTCATTTATAGTTTATCTAATAAAAATAAATTTTTTTAGGCTTCGCTTCTATGGTTCTCTCTTTCTCTTCACTTTTTTCTAAATCTTGGTTGATTTTCTTTCTTTCTTTCTTTTTTTTGGTGAATGATATTCTATGATTTTCTTGACAATAAAAAATCATATCAAACGAACAGGGGGTGGCAAGGGCCACATTCCCCTAACTTTTTTTTTTATTTTTTCTTAGTAAAATGAAGGAGTTATACACTTTTATTATAAAAGTTATGAAATATTAGATGAAATTTTTACTTCAATTCTATATGCAGTCTTTTATGTATGTATAAAGTAACTATTTTAGTAGTTCAAAAATTTGATTGTCATAAGATCTACTTATTTTTAATAAGATAATATTATACATGCTCTTAAAGTATTGGCGTCATCTTATTTTGCTTTCATTTTATATTTAATGAAATAAATTATAAGAATTATTGTAAACAAAATTTCTTAAGCATTGCAAGAAAAATACTAAAATATATTGAATGCTATATGCTTGATATCAATTATAAAATTACTTATCCAGAAATTAAGAAGTTTGGTGAAGATATTCTTTTAAAAAAAATACTTTTTTTTAAATAATTAAGCTATTAAAATTTATGATATAAATAATTTTTACTCTAATATAATTAAATTTCATTGACGTAAAGATTTTATAACAATTGAGCATTAATATTGAGTTAATATATTTATTTATTACAATTATCAATTAAAATAATTAAATAGTAAATTCAATAAGTAAGTAATAGAATTTATTATATTAAACAAAAATTTAAATTTCAATGATATATTTAAATCATTTAATGCTCATAGGGTCATAAGGATGATAAAATTTTTACCATTTTAATGACAATTTAAATTGAGAAGGAAATTGCTAAAATATTTATCTTAGACATAATAATTAATAATTTTTATCCCATAAAAAATTAATGAGCAAAACTTAATATATATATATATATATATATATGTATGTATGTATGTATGTATGTATGTTTATATTTATTGTTATATATATGTAAAATTGAATATAAATATAAATATATATATATATATATTAAAATATTTATATTATGTTAGTGATATATATACATATAACTTCCTTTTAATTATTATATATACTTTGTTATATCGACTTTCTTAATAAAAATTTTTGGCCCTGCCTTTGTAAATGAATTAAAGCTTTTCTGCTACCAAATAAAACAGTTTATTTTTAAAACTAAACAACTATTGTTATTATATTTTGAGAATGTTATCATGCGATGTCATCGTGAGATACTCTTGTTATACAATATTAATATATCAGTTTGTCTCTTTTATTGATTGGATAATTATTGTTGATAATATTTGTTGATAACTAGTTATAATTATTGTCCGCTAAGTTTCAATGTGAAGGAATAAGATCAATTGAGTTGAGATAAAATTATTTACAATCCAGCGACAGTGCAAGTTAGGCTTCAAAACAAGTGATGGCATTGATGCTCCTCTAGTTGTTTCTGACAAACCAGTTGCGAAATTATTGAAATGGATCTAGGGTTGAGTGGATAAACAGACAGATGAGAATCAGTGATGAGTGACAGTACACTATGATGCAAGCTTTACGTGAGGGTATTATTTAGCACCAAATCTCATTCTTTTATAGTTACTTGGGGTCGAAGAAACTACTTGCACTAATTATCAAGTCACAGGTAGAATAAATTTTTTGCAATTACACCTTCTTTTATAGTTATTTTCGTTGGAACTTGAAGGATTTGTTTAATTTACAGGACTACTTAAGCTAGCTTGATGTGATTTCGATTTAAAATAGAATCATAATTACGAGAAAAATCATTGTTGTACTAGCATCCTTGATTTAAATAGGAACGTAAAAAAAGTCAACTATTTTTTAACTAAATACAAATTTAAAATTCCTTATTAACTTTACTTTCTTAACATTCCTTCTAAACTTTGCAAGCACCATCGGTGCAGAGTAAATTCATAAAACATATATTGTTATAGCACAGGAAATAAAAGAAACCAGAATTAAAATATAAGGGATGATATTATAAAGTCAAATAATCAGACTAGCACCATGAATTGGGAATCAATGCTCAAGGTGGTTCATAGCTAGATCTACTCGTTGAGGTTTGAAGTAACGAACTTCCTCTTTTTAACCATAGCTAGCAATAAGTAAGAAAGTTAATTTAAAAATAAGAACATAAAATTGTGACGGTGTGAACATGAATCCCATTATCAATCAAAGAGAATGGGATTATATGATGGTGGAATATGGAAAGGAAGGGCCAAAAAGCTGCTTTGAAGAGGTCGGCATAGGCAGTAGTCATGTAAGCCTGTATTAAAAGAGGAGGAGGAAAGACAAAGGAGTAAGAAGAGAAAGAGATGTTGTTGATGGTTTAAAAGTTGTCGAATTTCGTGATGGAGATTAGAATTTGGAGGGAAGAGGGGAGAGAATTTGGTGAGGACATTTTGATTAATTTGAAGCTTAAAATTAATGCCACTGAAGGACCTCAATTTGTAATATGCCCTAAGTCCTTTTTAGCAAAATGAAATTTAGTCATGTTCTTTTTTGATAATTTTTTCTAAATTTAACATTAAATATTTAAATAATTTTTATAAATTGACTATTTAAATGTGCTTTTGGTAGTTTAAATTTAAAATTTTTAAGTTGCAACCCTTTTTAAATTTTTTTAAAGTTTTAGTTTGAAGATTATATTTATTTAGTTTTTTTAATATTATATTTATTAAAATAAAAATTTATAAATTTTTTTTAAAAAATTTTAATATTAAATTCAGATCATTTAAAATATATTTAAATAATTAATTCATAAAAAAATAAATATTCAATTGGATCGTCGAGATTGATAATAAAATATATTTATTAAAATTTTATAATTTTTATAATAAATATAAAATAAAAATATAAAAATAAAACTTTAAAATCTGGACAGATTGCTCATCATGTGCTCTTTTACAAGCAGAGTGGCGCCAATAGTTCAAAAGTACAAAATTCGGCTCTCTCCCCCTGTCTCTGCCCCCCGCGCTTGCCTGCTTGCTTGAAGAAAGCATGTACTTGAAGTGCAGGGACTCGCAGGACTTGGATCTGGATCCTGACTTCGACGACGATGGCCTCTCCTCCACGTCGTCTTCGTGCTCTCAAGGTCACCGATCTTCTCTCAACCTCCACACCCAACAAGGCGGCTCCATCTGCCTCCTCTGTTTCTCCAACCTCCTTTCCAATCCTCTCTCCCCTACCATCCACGTCTCCTACGCTCTCTCTCAGCTCTCCCGTGCCCTCTCCCAACCTCTTTTCCTTCATTCTCTTCTCACCTTTCATCCTCACTTCCTCACCTCCCCTCTCGTTAATGCCCTTTCCTCCTTCGACGATGAACCCATTGCCTCCCACCTCACCCAGCTCATTCTTTCTCTATCTTCCACCGATCATCCTTCTCTTTACGGTGATTTCCTCTCTAGGATTTCTGATCGCCTCTCTTCTGGTTCCTTGGCTTGGAGTTTCCGCCAATTACATATGGTAATTCTTTAATTTCTTCTTTCCTTCGTTCACTTGATTTTCATCATCGTTTTAGTTCCGCCATCGATGCCAGAAGCTATAGTAATCGGCGTACTGTGTTCTAATCAACTTCTCCATGACAATCGACGCAGTTAGTCACTGAATTTTTTCATGCATTATCTAAGGGAATAGTAGACGATAAATAGCGATCAAAGTAGTTTTTAGCAAGTTACGAAAGTTACATGACCTTGAATTCTTGTCTGATCCGTTCATTAATTATCATACTAACGTGACAGTTCAATATTTAATGCTTCCAACATTAGGCCGTGGTATAGCTGTAGTGTGCGCTATCGAGTAGTGAGATTTAAGAGTACACACAGGCATAGCAACAGAAGTTGTGCCTCTCGTTGCTGAAGTAGTTACGGAAAGAGCGTTTCATATTACATGGCGTCCACTTCAAAGTAAAATGTCAGGGCCTAGGGAGAGATGTTGAATTTAAATTCCGTTGCGGAATTCATCGTTTACGAGGAACCTATAATCTATACATGACTGAATAGTGTGTGAGGTTTAAAAGAGTTCAATGAATATAAATACATTTATTACAAGACACTCTGCTTACTGCAAAAATAAAACAATTTTTCCTTTAATTAATTTGAGACTACATAAACAATATTTTATGGACTGTTTTATTGTTCTAAATGTACAGCTCCACTGCTTAGGGGCTCTTCTGAATTGTCTGAAGGATGATCCTTATGCACACATCAAAGATATACATAGCCTCATCTCCAATCTTGCAGCAGGCCTTAAGTTGCCGAGGTGAAAAATATTCAATGCCGTCGACTTTTTGTTGCTTCTTATTTATTTTACATATTATTATTTATAGCCCTCGGCTTTATCGGTGCAGTGAGGACATCCGCGGGGAGATCGTTTTTGTCCTTTATAAATTATCTATTCTCCAGAGTACATCCGGAGGGGGAGATGGAATTGATACTTTAATTTCTTTTTGTCCCAAGCTCTTGTACTTGCTGGGAGAAGCCCTCATGAAGACTGAAAATGATGATGTTCGCTTGAATTGTGTTGGTCTGTTGTCGATTTCTCTTTCTTTTCTTTCTTCTTCTTCTTCTTCTTCTTCTTCTTCTTCTTCTGGTAACTTCTCTTTCTTTTCTTTATTGTGTACTATCAATTTCATTTTTGGTCGCTCGTCGTGCCATTTGGGTATCCTATTTGGATAGGTAGTAACTATTAAGATGTGGCAGAGGTTTTCTCCAAAATTAATTTCTTCCTCGTCTCATAGGTGCAAAGTTGATTTAATATAATAGACTTGTTATTTGGAGCCCGAGGTCCAGCATGTTGATAGCATCACTTTTTATGGCCATTTTGGCGCCATGAGTATTCATAGTAGTTAACAGTATCCCTCTACAGCCCATTTGCTAAGCATCTAGTTTATCGACCGAAGAATGGTAATTATGTTAGTCTAAAAGCCATAGGTAACAATCTTACGCCCCCTACCGGCACATTGGCTTCGATTATTTTCATCACTTTTGATTTTGTCTTTTTTCCCCCGTGACTAACAGTTTGATATATTTTTATTAGCACTTTTGACTGTGTTGGCTCGAAGACATTTGTTCACAGAAGCCTGTGCATATGATACTAGTAGCATGAATTTCTCTGGAGGACGTCACTCCTCAGAAACAGAAACCGGAACCAAGGGGTCATCTCTTTGTGCTCTCTTTGCTGAAGCCATCAAAGGTCCCCTGCTTTCATCGAACAGTCAAGTCCAAATCAACACGCTCGATTTACTGTTTCATTATCTGGCTTCAATGGGCACTTCAGGCGAACATATTCAAATCTTGGTTGAAGAAAATATTGCAGATTATGTTTTTGAAGTATTAAGATTGTCCGGTAAGAACAATCTCCAAAAAAATCGTAGAACCCAGCATATGGCTTTGGTGAAAACTTGCTTCCTTATCAGCATCATAATTTAGACATACTACAAATTGAAAACTTTGGCTTCTTTGTTTGGATTCACCGTTAATTGGTTGAGATTGGTGGTCTCATATCTGGAAAAGTTACCACTATTCTAGCTAGCTTTCTTTGCATATTACGCTTATAAATTTGAAATGTTAAACTTAATTTCAATCTTGCTGCTGGCTCAAGTTCTTACGTCATCTCATGGCACCATGACGGTGAATTCACTCAAAGAAGACCGTAGCTTTCATTGCAGTTATTAAGTTTCTTCGTAATATTATTTCCAAATCGTGAAAATTAGGCTCCATTGTTGCATAGTGTCATGGGCTAAATTTTCTCTCATGAACAGAATATAAGGATCCAGCAGTCAAGACTTGTCTTCGAGTGCTAGATCTATTATCAACTGCAGAGGAAGTCTTTAAACTAAGGCTTGTAGTTGGGTTTTCAACTCTGATTCCAGTACTACAATACATTGCTGAAGTTCCATTTCACGCAGTTCAATTTGAGACACTGAAACTCATCTTCAAGTGCGTTTCCGAGTGCCCTGGAACAGTGTCATCCTCTCAACTGGAGGAACTAGTTCTCGTCTTGACAAGGATGCTTAAAAAACATTCTGACGGGGAGATGGGGGTGCTTCCTGAGACGTTTATAATGGCCTGCTTAGTTTTTGTAGCTCTTATAAGATCTCCGTCTCGTCAAGGAGTTCTAGATCTGTCAAAATCAATGGAAGATGCAATAAAACATGCCACCTTAACTTGTCTTTTCATATCTGAAAGGAATACTGAGCAAACTTTGCATTTTTTGTACCTACTTAAAGAGGCACATGCATTCAGTCAAGAAGGAAACTCCACCAACTCAAATAAACTGGAACTTAAAAGCTGTATTCTAGATATATGCAAAACACATTTACTTCCTTGGCTCTTAACAGATGTTAACGAAATGGAAGAAGAAATAGTCCTGGGATTGCTGGAAACTTTTCATTCCATATTTCTTCTTCACGTTGATGCCGATGCCTTGGAAGTTGCGGACACCATGATATCATCTTCTTGGTTCAGCTTCTCATATGGATGTCTGGGCTTGTTTCCAGGACAAAAGATGAAATACAGAATATATTTACTATTCAGTTCTCTTGTGGATGTTCTTCTAGGTGACGATTCTGGGCACACAATAAGTGCTGCTGCTTTACATTTGCCTTCTGATCCTATTGATTTACTGTGTCTACTCGGTCAAAAGAGTACCAAAAGTTCAGAATTAGCGTCTTGTCAATCTGCTGCTTTGTTGATTTTATACACCAGTTCATTATATGATGAAAGGTAGTTAAGCCTCCTTTCTCTCGTTATCTGTTGACTAGCATATTTTTTTATTCCTAACCGCTTTTATGTTTGAATCGCCAGACTAGCAGATGAGAAGTTGGTGTTAGCTTCTCTTGAACAATATGTTCTTGTTAATAGCAGTGAACTTTTGGACGGGACTACTGATAATATGACAGTGATTCGACTGGTAAATCTTTACAGTTTATTCAGGGGCCTCGGCAGGACGAGCTATCACGTTCCCTATAGTCGAGAAGCCGAGGGGATTTTATTCCAACTCATAAACGAAGATGGATGGGATATACTTTCCGCAAGAATTCACTCTGTATCATTGAAGTGGTTGTTCCAACAAGAGAATCTGCTCAAATCATTGTGCCGTCAGATTTTGAAATTCTGCAGAAGCTATAGCTCAGAAGGGACTGGCATAATGATCTATGGAACTCATGAGCAAACTGTAAACGTACAGACGCTAGCTGAGTTAGTATCCTCTGGGGATAACTGTGGAGCAAGACTCTTTGTATGCCTGTTGGCACAACTCGTTGATGAAGGAGGATATGAGCATGACATAATATATGCTCTAAATCTTATAACAACTATTGTTCGCATCTGTCCAGCTGCTTCAGATCAATTGTGTTTGCATGGATTTGGAACAGCAATTAGGACTATTTGTTATTCAAGTCATACCTTCTCCATGGCAATTTTCATGCCTCTCTTGGTTCTGGTTTTCAACATTTTGAGTTCAGTGCACTCCGAAACAATTTCTACCGATCAATGTTGGGCTGGCGTGACCATGAAGGTGAGTGGCTAAACTTCTAATCGCACACATCACATGCAGTTTTGAAAAAACAAGATGTCTCGAGTATTATTTTAGTTGTAGCTTTCAATTCAGTCGCTTGACTGGTCAACTTGCCGCAGTGACAATGATGGTATAATAAACAGACTGCTTCCAATTTTGGAGAGCGAAATGCCTAATGTATTATCTTGGCCCCTTCAATTTACTGTAGCGTTCAATTCGGACGATCAGTTATTAGTTCTGCCAGTTGTTGTCCTTTGTTCTTTTTCTTTTTTTCATCAGATTTGAACTTGATGGACTCAGGAAACCCTCAGCAAGATGCCATTTGCTATCCCTGTGCAAATTAATTATACGGTCCCGCTGCTGATTCTTTTTTGCCAAAAATTGTACCAATCAAGTTGTAGTTGTTTGGGCCTCCCAATTTTCGCATTTTGCGATCCTCTGTTGAAATCCTAAACGGTATTAGTTTTTGCTTTCAGAGATTAGGAAAACTGGATTCATTAGTGGCAAAGCGTAACTGATACGTACATGCTCCGGTTTAGAAAAGCATGAACAATTGATGCTTCATTATCAATATAGCCAAAACATTACTAAAAATAATAAAGGTGAGTTATGTATCCTATTTAAAATATCAGGAATATACAGATTACCGAAAATGTAGGAATTAAAATGGAGCCAGATAAGCTGGAATAAAATTTTGATCTCATAACGATAGTTCTGTAACTACCAACTGCTCCAAAACTATAGTTATTGGAGAAGACGGGATTTTTGTCAGTGAATTGTTAATAGTTCATTACCACTTTTGCAGGTGACAGAGTACAGCACTACACTAGAAACTGGTGATATCTTAACAAGTGAAAGTCTCTTTGTACTTGGCATTCTTTCCTTAATTTTGCATCACTCCACTAACAAAGCACTTGAAGAAGCTTCGAAGTTCATACTTTTTAATACTTGTATAGTTTCTATGGTGAACACTGTAGTCCATGCAGCTTCTTCAAAGGGACCCGCTTTTCTTGACTCCGATGAGGAAACATGCGCCGGAGAAACTCTAACATCTGTTCTTTTACTTAATTACTTCTCACTTAGAAGGTATGTTGGTTTCCTTCAGTAGTTGCATCGATACAAATTGAAGTTGTTAATGCTAAATATTCTGTTATTCTAGTTTGCATGCTATCCTACCAGGGGTCGTAGATTGGCAGAACTTCCTCGTTACAACGAATCCAACAGAGTCTCTCGCCTTTATTAGCATCCGTTGCCATGAGCTGTGCAGACTTCTACATTTTGGTTCTTTGGTGGTCAAGATTGTTGCTTCCTATAGCCTGTTAGAGTTGTTTAACAGAATATCAGATCAGGTAAACAGTAAACATGAAGAGTTAAAATGTTCGATTGGGTATCTCATGTCTACAAGGATTATTTTGGAAGGCCTAGTTTCTTACAATGACCTGAGAGTGGCTACAAATTGTGCCCTCTGCCTGTCAATGATTATGGAATGGGAAAAGCAGGCAAAGGAAAAAATACCATTTGAAAAGAGCAATTGGTGTAGGTTTATTGTGGAAGAGATGACAGTGTCTTTGGCAGCTCCTTGTTTTACATCTCAATCATACATCGACAGTCAAAGGCCTTCTGTACTTGTGGCTATTGCATTGCTAAAACTGCATAAAGTTCCCGAGTGGATGAGATCTGTGTTCAATGATTCATGCATATCCGGCATACTGGAGAACCTTGGTGCTAGTACCTTGAGCACGGAGATAGTGGTTTTATTCCGAGAACTACTTAAATCCGACTTCTTGAATTCGGATCACCTCGCGACCATAAATCAAGTTCTCCAGGTACCTCTCGTGGCCACACTGCATCATCAAATAAGTATGTTGATACTTGGGGTGCTTTGGAATTTAAAATCTAATTAACAATAAACGGTGATTCTGGAAAGAAAAAAGATGATAAACATATGGGCCTGCGAACATATTTTTATGATATATAAATTCCGTAGTTATGTTACTTATTATGATATTTGCAGGGGTGCCGGCAGCGTTTGTCCGTTAATGATGGTCAAGATGGCCGGCCACTTGAACCAGGAAAGGCGCGCACAGCGTCATATGCCATGGAAGAAGTTTGTGGATATTTAATTGACTTAATGCCATCAGAAACATACCTAGAGACAGGTTCTATGGGATTTCATTTGGGCAATAACTCACTCCTAGAAGAAATTGAGCTGTTTTTCAGGACCTTAATTGCATATGATAGTAGGACATGATAACTAAACGTAAATAATGGCTAAGGTGTTTGATAATTTTACTTAATTTTAACGGAGGTGCATGTATATTCATCTACTACGAAAAAAAGCAGTGGCATAGGAACTCAGATATCATTAATGTTTGAAGACACAGCTAATAGGTGTGGTTGGGGAAAAATACATGACACAGGTATCAAGGAGTTGGCTCGTTACTTCATAGTCTGACAAGCAGGGTAGTCAAAGGCCAGAGGTGTCCTCAAGGCGCTAACTTGGGAAACATGCCTCTAGAATCTTGGTAATATGTTATTAAGGATATATGTATATGATACAAAAACACACCCATATTGAACCACTTTGCCAAGCCCTTTTTGTCTTGCCTTCTTTAACAATGGCATTATGCTTTCATATTTTTGCCCAAACTCCTTTTCATTTGAAATATGTTAACATTAATATATGAGTTGTCCCATGTTGCTATAAGTAGTTTTTTCACAGACGCCAAAAAATCCCCATATTGTAGAAGGTTAAACTGGAATACAAGTTGTGTTTCATAATTTCTAAATTTGGCTGTTTCATGAGTAAGACGCCAAAAGGTGTATGCCTTTCCTCGAATGTTATCCTCACAAATATTAGTAGATAATGAATGAATGTAACATGAATAACGATTCTATCGCCTCATTTTGGCAGGGTCAGAGTGCAGGTACCAGAAAGATGTTGATCAACCAACTTGAGATTTAAATCTAATTCCCAACTACCTGTCACCATCAACAGAAACCCACCGAATACAAAGCAATATGTAATTTAACAGAAAATTTGAGATTATCAAACCGCATGCAAGAAGACTGAATAGAGAGCAAATTGAATTATCTTTGTTCATAAGCTTTGTACATGTGTGCAAAAGTAACGCTTGATATTTCCTTTCATTGCTTCTGAGTTCATAAGCCAAGAATTCTCAGCTCACTGAAAGAAATTCCCTAGTTTCCTTAAACGCTAGATTTTCTTCACTCTAACATCACATCGTTTAAATTTTTATTCAACAATAATAACAAATCTTATCATATTAAGTGAGGTCATAGATCCCATAACGGATGCCATTGTGTTCTCTCAACAACTAAAACTTTGGATATACTCATTCCATAATTTATTTAAACTTTTATTCGTCACCGCTGAATAGTGGGAGGTAAGCCATTCCAAATATTCACACTTTGTTTCATTGCCTTTAATAAAAACCAAAAATGGGTCTTTATTTGTTTCTCCTATAGTGGATACTACCTTCAACATGTTCAGATACTAAATCAATGAGGCCACCATAAGTCCATCTTTTTCTTTCTCTATCCTCAGGGTGCAGAGAAGAGTACACTTCTTCGCAGGTTTTAAGAAAATTACCTTTCCCAAACGCATTAAGGACCAAAGAATCTGTTTCCATTTCTACAACTCTATGAAGATAGCCCATCCTTCTCCATCTTTCTAAAGTTGCACTGCCATCAAAACCCATTCTAGTTGCATCAAAGATAATTCCAATAGTGACTATGTCAGGCTTCACCCCATGGGTTGCCGATTGAGAGAGAAAAATTCTCAAGTGCTTGAAATCATTCATCTTCACATAAGCCAGCATAATGATATTTGCAAGTGTAACATTCAATTGAACTTTGGCTTCTTGCATTTCTCCAACAATGATATCCATGCCTTTTCGACTCAAAAGACAAGCATATGAAAGGAGGCGCAGACACCAAACAAGTTCAGTCCCACCCAAAGTCGAACGTAAATCAAGCCCCAAATCTTCTAATCTGGAATACATATAGTCCTCAATATAAACTTCTGCAAGTTTTCTTATTAAGTCATCCTTTAAAGGGGTTCCTGAGTTCAAAAGTTTTCTATAAACTTTTTCCATCTTTACAACTATCCCAAATCTGGCATAAGCCTCAAGCATTGCAACCAAAGTAGAAGAATGCAGACGCATTTTTTTGGAAAGCATTCTTTGATATACTGATTCCATTCTCTGAAGCAGTCCACCTTTTGAATATTCTCTTACAAGTATGTTATAAGTTGTGTGAACAAGAGAACATCCATCCAACTCCATCTTTTTCACACACTTGCCCATCTCATCATACATCTTAAACTTCCCATAGCCTTGAATTAAACTATCATAGGTTTCAGTGTCCGGCACTACACTGAATTCTTTCATCTCACTAAGAAAAAACAAAGCATCATTGAATTTGCCTGCCATGGAGAAGCCATGAATGATTGGATTATACGCACCTGAAGAAGGCTTGAGTCCATGATTTTTCATCTCCTGCAGTGCAGCCACTGCCTCTTTCAGCAGTCCTTCTTCAGTCAACACACATATTATCTTGTTATAGTTGAATTCATTAATCCGTGAACCCTCAATTTTCTTCCACATATCAAATACCTATTCAAATACTCAATAGTCAATCGCTGCAGAGATGCTAGGATAACTCTAAAAACTGTTATAGTTCAAGAATTTCACCCTAATCTTTCAGTTTCTGATAGAACAATAGTAGCACGATGCAAATTAAAGGTAATCATTTTAGCCTAATACAACTAAGACCTATCAGCGTCCTAATTTTCCAGAGAGCAGGTTCAAAGGAGAGAGAACCTGAAGGATTTCTTTGGATCTGGAGGCAAGTTTAAGAAACCTGACGACGGCCCAAAACTGGGCTTTGGACCAATCTCCGTCTTGTTCGAGTATCCAGAGAGGGCTTGAATGTTTCTTCTGAAGCTTTTGCAGTAAGGATTTGAGGGTGCGATGCTCATGGTAAATCTCAACGAGAAGGGTTTTGTGCTGTAGAGAAGCACTATCTGAAAACGTATCAGTTGGCGAGAAATGAACAGGCGTCGGACGGATTTGAGTCTTGAGATAAAGGAATTTGGGGAAATGTTTAAGGAAGAGGGGCTCGCAAGGTTTCGCAATTCTGCTGCACTCGAAGCGGAGATGCTGAATGGGACTTGGACTCACCATCACCAGAGTCTCCATTTTAGTCTGTAACTAAGCTCTCTCGCATTCCTCCTCCTTGGTCTTGTTGATCAGAGGTTATACTTCGACTCACAACATAAACATATGGTCAATGGCTCAAAGCTCACTATCCAATCGCATCTTGTCCGTCGCCAAATTTCCTCAATCGAATCGAATCAGTATGAACACAACTCAATGCAAACCCTGGAGTTCTGCTGCCGCAATTAAGATAAACCCCAGTTGTCTAGATTTTTTTTGGGCATAAAAGTATTGCATGAATCGTTGTGAGTACATGAACATAGTGGTTGTATAAATCATTAAATAAATCATTGTGTTATGTGGACTTAGGATGTGTTCGATTAAACAGTTAAAGGGTGGAGGGTTTAATCATCCATGGTTTGGTTCAAGAATGAAAGAAGTAGTAAATAATGCATCATCATATCCTTATATAAAAAATTTTATTTTTTTATTTTTTTTATATAAATTAATTTTACATCTCAATTCAAATTGTATAATTTTTAAAAAAATCACTTTAATATTAAATATTTATTTGTCATTATTTTTTCATTTTATTTGATGTTATCATCCCTTGGTTCAAAATTAATTAAACCTATACAAAAATTTACATGTGAGAACAAAAAATAAAAATAAACACCAATATAAAGTAATTGTTCTTGCGATAAAGATATTGATTAGTGATTTAAAATTTCAAAACACATCAAAACTAAATTTTAATGTAAGAATAATTCTCTTTTTTCTTAAAAAATCAAATAACATTATCATCCATACAAAATCTTATGACAAGTCATATTTAGTACATATCAACAAAAGTCATCAATCATCCTCATTATCACCAACAATTACATTTTGAGCATATAACAAAATAAACTGAATTTATCAACATTCTCATTATTAGTTGTTTCGGTGTTAGAACTGGACATTGAATTGTTGTTCTCAGCTTATCAACATCACCCATTCTTTTAGCACCACACCCACATTTTTCAAGCAATTTTCAAAGTTTTTCAAATGACAATCATGGACAGCATTGAAAAAGTGAGGATTCATATGGATAGCATTGATAATATGAACATCACTCAAATATATCAAACAAGGTAGAAGTTCCTCAAGTGACAGCCATGAGGTTTTCGAATGAATCTGTGGCATGTGGACTGCAGAGGAAGTTTATTAAAAGGTTCAATCATGCCATGCCTCACATGATTCAACAATCTGAATATTCATATGACCATCATGATCTAGAAGATCATATAACAATCTAAAGTACACAATGTGAATCATTCAATATCTGAATCATTCCTCATTCGATATGAATCATTCCTCAATCATTATGTTACTAACATGTTTAAGTTTGGCCAAAACTACCTGTGAAAATGCCATAACAGCATGCTCAACAATAATATTAGAGTATGATTTAACTAACAAAGCCTAAAATACATAAACTGACAAGATAGATCAAAACCACCATAGGACAAAAGGAAAAATGTAGACCCGTAAGAATTTTGCACATATTCGGGAATCATGGCCAATAGAAACTCTCAAGTGCTTAGAGGGATCAGCTTTCTTTTTATCCACTAACCATCCAGCAAAGGCTGCTTCTATTGCTTCAGCAACAGGTTTAGTGAGGTTAACTGGTTCACAGACCATTTTTCTGACATATGAGCCATATATACTTGTTCTTTCGTCAAGTCATCAAGCTTTTATCAAATTTCACACAAGATCTTTTGTTATCACTTATCAGCACTGTTTATTTCCGTGTTACTACCCATATCCATATTCCATACCAGTCTTCATCCATCCTAACTATAGGCCAAAGCTTCAGCCACGGTTAGTAATTACAGATGCTTTGTAAAACAAGAAATACTTTGCAGATAAGGACCATCTAGCAGCATGATTTTATTATCAGTCCAAGAAAATTCAGTGAATATTGTTCTTTGGTGAACTAATGTCCTGTGAGGAGGGCTTCAGAGTAAAAAAAGAAACGACAATAGCAAGAAGACGGAAAGCTCAGCATAAAAGAAGAAACGGGTATGTGAAACCAGAGCCATCAGGAAAATTAGATCCATAGACAACATTCAGATTCACACCCAGATGATGGAAAACATATAAGAATGACTCTCCAAAAATTTAGGTGTGACTAACACGGGATATACCAGCAAAACTCATATTCCTTAAGTCTTGATTAAAAAAATTCTTAAGTTAATACTTTGAACACATTAATAGGATGATTAAAATTTTTTACAATACTTTTCATATAAACTAGAAGTCACAAACTTCCTAAAGAAATTTCAACAAAGGCTACTCTGAGAATAAAACCTCTTGCAAATTTCTGCAATAGCAATTTACAATATCAAATCAAATATTCAATCTTAAAGGAAATATGACGGTCCTACCTATAATCTATATGGAGCACTTAGGACCAAACTCTTACAAAAATACAAGGTTCAAATTTACATCAAATTGAGATTTTTTTGAAATAATTCTTCTAATCTAGTTTAGCAATAAAACTTCTCAATGATCACCTCAAATACAAGTTCGGTTATATCATCTGAGGCCAAAAATATATTTTTTAGTGAATAACATCCCAATTTACAATTAAAGAAAATGAAAGAAACAATTATGAATGAAATAATTATGAGTTTAACTAAATTAATCATTTAGAACAATCAGAATGCATAATTCATAAATCAAATAATTTCATGTAAATATTTGATGCAAAAGCATCTTCATGCAGTGATAACATATCAACTAGATTTTACTTTCTAACTACCATATTCATATCAAATAAATAAAAGTTGCATAGCTCATTATATATATATATATATATATAACTATAACGCCCATTCATAAAAATCAACTTGTTTAAGAAAAATTAGTTTATAAACAATAATTTTTAAAATATTCTTTAACGAGATTTCATCAGAACGAATAATAAACATGAAAATATAGTCCACAAGAATAAATTACTAATTAATCATGGTTAAAAGTCATAAAATAAGTATGGATATACAATTCAAAAAGATAAATAACTAACAAGTATGGCTTAAAGTCATGAAATAATCAAATGCAGCTAAAAGGCATGACATAAGTATAGGTACGAAGCCCACGAATAACAAGTGTGAGTATATTACTCACAAATACCAAGCTAGTCACGATTTAATCATGGAGCACCAAAGATTAATAGAATTATTGTTAGCAACTAGCATTCTATATTCAATTCCACCGAAACATTTTTCAAAAATGCATGGAATCAAATAAAATTTTTGCTTTAGACTAAACTATAAATATCAATTAAAATGATATAATTCAAATAAAATTGCCTTACTAAAATCTGCCTTAAGGATAGTTTACTTTAAAAACATGGCAAATGGTAAAAATATCATCTTTAAAAGTAATTATTATGAATATTCATTTGAAATATAATTCCAACTCTTTCAATAAAATTTAATATAATGGAAGCATTTCCATATATAATAGTTAATAATAGAATTAAAACCATAATATCATAAATATATATATGTCTGAATATGCTCAATCAATATTTTTAAAAAAATAAATTTGCTATCAGTCATTGGGACGCTAGTCATTTAATATAATGAACGCCTTCGTTTTCATTTACCAAATGAGCAATCTGTCTTCTACTTCGATAGTGATCAACTTGATAATGTGATGCAAATGGAAAGTATTGATGAGTCAATAATGCTTTCATGGATGCAGTACAATGCTAATAACTCTAATGGTCTAGACTTGACATATGTTGAATTCCCTATAAAATTTGTTTATGATCATAGGAAAAGGGGATGGCATCCTGATAAGACAGGAGTTAAAATTGGTCCGTTGAGTCATGTGCACCCCAATGTCGATGAATTAAATTTCTTGCGTGTTTTGTTGAACAACGTTAAAGGCCCAAAATCATTAGAAGCAATTAGGACTGTGAATGATGTTGTCTATCCAACCCCTAGAGCTACCTGTTATGTGATGGGTCTATTAGATGATGACCAAGAATATGTAGATGCTATCAAAGAAGCAGCTATATGGGCATTTAGGCATTGTCTGCGTCGTTTATTTGCATAAATGCTTATGTCTCAATCACTATCCAGATCAGACTTTGTGTGGAAGGAAACTAAAACATTCTGTTAGAAGATATGTTACACATACCACACGGCAATGAACATTTATCTGGTTAATATTCCTTTTCTATCTTTCTTTTTTAGTAATCCATTTTTTATTCATACAATTTAACTGCTATAATTTTTTATTACAAAGGTTAATTTCTCATCAACTGAAAAGGAGATTGCAGTAATTGAAGAGATTGATAACCTTCTTAGCAAAAATGGTAGAACATTCAGTGATTCCATTAACCTTTCGCATTTCCTTACTGATTCTGATTATTTGATGGACCATTTATTTCTTGAGCATTTGAACATTGATCATGAAAGGTTGCAGGCAACATCAATTACCATGATACAATCATTGACGGTTGAACAAAAATCAATTTTTGATGAAATTATCAATAGCTTATTTGATAGTGGACCTATTTTTTTTTCTTCTATGGACATGGGGGAACAGGAAAAGCATTATTGTGGAATACTTTAAGCAGCCATATCCAATCAAAAGAACACATAGTCTTGACTGTAACATCAAGTGGTATTGCTGCGATTCTTTTACCAAACAGGCGAACTAGTCATTCAAGGTTCGCGATGCCAATCGACATTAAGGAGGACTCTACCTGCAACATAAAACAAAATTCCCCTCTTGCACATCTTATTCGTAAATCAAAATTGATAATTTGGGATGAAGCTCCTATGTTTAAACGACATTGTATTGAAGTTGTTGATCAGACGCTAAGAGATACATTGCATGTTGATGATCCGGACAGTTATCTTTATCCTTTTGGTGGCAAATGCTTTGTTTTAAGCAATGACTTTAAACAAATTTTGCTTATTGTTGCAAAAGGATCGCGAGCCGATGTTCTTAATTCATGCATCAATAAATCTGATTTTTGGGCTCATTACAAGGTGTTTAGACTAAATAAGAATATGTATTTGCAATCATCTTCATCAAACAATCAAATAGATACCGACTACTTTGCTAAATGGATCTTAGATGTTGGTGATGGGAAATTAGCGCAGCCTCATGATCGGTATGCAGAAATTGACATTCCTGCTGAATATCCAATCATAGCATATGAGAGTCCAGTTTATATTATAGTCAGTGCCATATATAATGATCTTTCGCATAATTTCTCTGAGCCTTCTTACTTCACATTTGGAGTTTTTTTGGCACCAACATATGAACACCAACATATGAAGTTGTTAACGGGTTAAATAATCACATATGTTCCATCTTCCCTGAAGATTCAATTGATTATTTGAGTTTGGATTCAATTGCCCCGTGCTCCTCTGAAAATGATTCTTTCAATCAATTATATACTCCAGAATTTCTTAATTGCATTGATTGTTCAGGTCATCTTAACCTTAAAAGTAGGTATGCCTGTGATGCATTAGAAATGTCGATCAATGCATGGGCCTCTGTAATGGGACAAGCTTATTATCGAACATCTAGCTAATCGTGTTATTGAAGCTAGAGTTCTTAACGAATCAAATGTTGGTGAAAAAGCTTTGATTCATAGAATAGATATGACTTCATCTGATTCAAAACTACCTTTCAGATTAAAGAGGAAACAGTTTCCAACAATCATATCTTTTGCCATGCGAATTAATAAAAGTCAAGTGCAATCATTGGATCATGTAGAATTATATTTGCCTAGCCCTGTTTTTACCCAAAGACAATTATATGTTGCCTTATCTAAAGTTAAGAACAAACACGGGCTAAAAATCCTTATACATGACTCTAAAGAGCAACCATTGACAACAACAAAAAATGTTGGCTTGTTCTTCTCTTGTAATATATACTGACGTGTCATGTAAATTATTTCATATTGCCTTATTCTTTATCTTACAATTATTAATTTTCCATATCAACTTTTATTTACTTGCATCATATTGTCATGCAGGCTCTTAAAGTAGCTTCTTCGAATGATGCTAATTTGGGAACTCCAACGCAGCCACATATACACATGCATGCTTACGAAAAAAAAAAAAACACGCATACATACATGTGGGAGGGGCTGCAAATGGACAAATCACAAATGGGGTATATGACATTTATCATTTTGAACCTAGTACTCTTAACATTATAGTAATCAATCTATGAACATGTTTCTAATTATATATAACTTGTTTCTTATTTTGAAATTATGATTTATCTTATGTGCTCCTTTGGTTATTTAGGGATTTGTAATTATATATAATTATGATTTATCTTAAGGAAGACATAAGATAAATCATAATTTTAAACAACTAAATACTAGCCAGTGTCGTGCAATAAACACAAATGCCTTTCATTAATCGTTATTATTGATCTTTGTCCTTGATGATTAAAAATTCTTGTGCTTAACCAACGCCTGTTTAATTTAAAACACAAAACTATCGACTCCTCTCACATCCAAAACTTTACCTCCTTTCACCACACCTTCTCATTGTTTAACTCTCTCAATTATTTTTCAATGGTACTTTATGTTCTCTATTCCTTAATAGTGGCTGCAAATATCATTTTCCACAGTCCCTATTGCCGTTCACTTTCAAAGGCAGAAAATGCAAAGCATATTCCTACACGTAATCTCATCATATGATCACATTTTATGAACTTGTACTCAAAGCACGCGCCAGAGTTTTGACAAGAAACATTTGAAAGGCAAAGCGGGATCATCTGTACCATCAAATTGAGGCTGCAGCAAAGTGAACCAAACCATGATATGAAATGTTCAAGTTTCGTAGCAGAAAAATATGACTGTAGATCCACAAAATATACAACCATCTTCCTAGGATCCTAGGAAGACAGATACATTAACCAAAATATGTACCTTAAATCTAAAGTGAACCTTACTTTAAACCAACTATAACACCACGACCAGAACTAATAAGCAGATCATATCATCAGGTGGAGAGGATTAGAATAATTTCACCACTTATGTCAATCTTCTACTTCACATTCACCGAGGATCCACAGAAGAGCAGCATACAAACTGTACCCAATATGGTCTGCTCTTGATTTTCCTCTTTTCCCTCTTGATGTCAGCAGGATATCTTGCCGGGGAGTTCCATTCTTTTCCAGCCTTGTCTCTCGCAGCCTGTGCAGCAGGGGATTCGGGACCAAGAATGGAGTTAACAGTTGTCAATCCAGAGTCATTATCTGTTGCAACTTCACCATTTTTGGAAGACGCTAGATTTCCGTCCAACTTCGGAGACTTAGGCTTGTTGCTATTGGCAGCCTCGCCCAGGAGGCTCTTCAAAGGTGTGCTGCTCTGTTTACTGGTGCTCCAGTTAGTTACCTTGGCTATAATTTCTTCATTCTTCTTTCTCCCTTGAGACTCATTAACAACATGAGTAAGGGTGGGAAACCAGCCAGCCTGCGAAGACATAGGATTTGGTTGTTGTGGGTTCTGTCCTTTCTGACCTTCTGAAGCAGCAGCTTTTGGGCCAACCATGTGTTCATGTTCGACCAGAGTCATGAAAGATGGTGGTTCAAATATATCTGATTTTTCAGATTGCAGTCCCTGAGCTGCAGCTTTAGAACTGTTCAAGTTGGATTTCCCTGTTTCTGCTGATGGTAAAGCTTCACCATCCGTAATAGCTGGCGCATCAGATTGGACAGAGAGAACTGATTGACATATCATGAAAGAGCAAATCAATTGGTACATCCCCCTCCCAAAAAAGTGCAAAAAATTATTTAAGCTTTGTATAGAAAATGCAAGTTGCGAAGGAGAAATAAGATCTCTTTCCCATTTCCCCAAAGATTCTAAAAGAGCAAACTTAGAATAAAGAAACTTCTGATATGCAACCGATTAAACCAAGTAGTAGTGATATTTAGCAGTCAACGTGTGAGATATGACAAATGGAGAGAAAATAAACGGCACACATTAGTTCGAAGTAGACAGAGTTCATAAAGATTGAAACTGTACAAGTGTGCTATGTACTCTATAGATCTACACCATTATAAACAAAAATATAATTTGCAGTAACAGTCAATTAATTATCCTGATATATATATGAATAATAATCAGTGTCATGCAAAATGAAATGATGATAAAGTACTTATACAGGGGACTAATCACTTGTTTCGCCATAGTTCTAACATACATCATCGTTGGGTAAGGACCACCAAATGAGACTTGAAATTCTATACCAAAGATATGACGAACACAACTAAACTATCTATGTGCTGATTAAAATCATTATTATAATATTTGACTTCTCATCAAAACTAAAGTTCATTAAAGTTATGCACTTTCCATCCTTTAACTTAGTATGAAGTTTCACCAAGTCCCTCAAATTTTGTCTGTTCCAAATATATGTATCTCTTAAGCTGAAAATTAAAAAATCAGAGACACGAAAATAGAACTGAGAAAATGTTAATTTAGGTTTAGCCTAATTTATACTGAAAACAGTAACTGGTAACAGCAAACAGCAAGTTAAGGCACTTTCTTTCCCTTTTATCTTCTCACTTAAAATATGTTACGTGATACTATCTAATGTTGAGTTGAGCACACAAAAAGCTACAAAAACTCGAATGACATTAATCTCTAATTTAATAAGCACAACATATAGGAAGATTTCATTGACCATTCAAGCACGTTGTAAATCCACCAACAGTCAACTCTTTATGGTGCAGGAGGCTTTCTATTGTAAAGCAACAAACATATATACCTGAAACAGAACCCCAGTTTCCTTCCAAACTGTCACAGCGACTACCAGAGTCAACTGAAGCATCAATAACAGATGAACCAAATTTAACCAAGTTATTTCCATTTCGATCTGAAGCAGTCACAATACTAGTTCCAGAGTCATCCCCACTAGGTTCAACAGCTGTATTATCTTCAACAGCAGGAACAGATTGAGCAGATTGATCAGTGTCCAAATGAGAATGTGGAGGAAGTTCCTTAGCATGTTTTTCCACAGCCTTCGATGGCTCTGTATCCTGTGCTTGAGGTAAATTAGAATAAGTATTGCTAACTGTATTACATTCTTCTTTTACTTTGCTATTGTTAATGATTTCATCTACTTGTCTGTCTTCCTTAATACCTGGTACTGCATTTACAACTGTGCTGTCAATACCTGTTGGCTTCCTTGCTTGCCCATCCCTTACATCCTCTGAAACAATTTGGGATTCAAATGGGATGCTACCAGAATTGGGTGACAACGTATCTTTTACAGGGGAGGCTCCCATAACCTGAGTATCATATTTATCACATTTCTCTGTTTTGCCTGTTTCACTAGCATCACTACTCTTAAATAAATCACTTGATGTCTCCCCTTCCAATTGCAAGAGATCACTAGGCTGAAAAGTTCCCACCTCAAATCCAATATCACTTTCCTCATCGCCTCCTTTGCATTTGCTGTCTACAACTACATCATCCAAATCATTTCTTTTTTTCTCATGATGACTTGTTCCGTCTCTGCTAAGTATACTAGTTTGACTGGGTAAGAAGTCAATTGATACATTTCTGAGATTCTCCTTAGATGAGGCCAGGATACCATCTTCCAGTAAACTTTTCTCTTGCAAAGTTTTACAGGCATCATCGAGCTTATGTGCTACTGAGAAGCCAACTGCATGGCTTTCATTCTTCTCAGTGTTCACAGTATTCACTGAGCCTCTAATTTCATCTGATCTTTGAATACTTTCAGCTGTCAGTGTGACTGGATAAACTACAGCTTGCTCTTCAGCAAGTGCATCTTCAACCTGAGACTCATCGTGGACCAGCTCCTGCTTAATGATATCATCTGAAACACGCACATCTGGAGAAATAATCTCCCTTTCTTTGCTCAATTGGCTCAACTTGAAATCAGAACGGTTTTCCTCATTAATGGTATCCTTCAAGTCACCTTCTTTAACTTTAAATGCTTCAGTTGAGTGTAGATTGTTGAAAGATTTTCGTGAAACTTCTTCCTCACAATCTTTAAAATCTTCCAAATCATCAGATGAGACCATAACACTACCTTCCAATAAATTTCTGTGCTGTAGATTTTTACCAACATCATCAGATCCCAGTTCTTCAGAAGAGCCAACAGTACAAGTCTTACTAATCTCAGACTTCATAGAATCCTCAGAGGCTCCAACTTCTATTGATCTTTGATCACCATAAAAAATGTGCTTCACAGGAGAAACTTCAGCATGCTCTACAGCAGTCACTTCAACCAAGGGGTCACTGTTAATACACCCCTGCTTAATGCTATTATCTAAAGCATGCATATCAGGAAAGAGAACCTCTTTTTCTTCAGTCAGTTGGTTTGAGTTGTAATCGGAATGGGGCTCCTCAGTCACAGACAAAGTTATCTTTAAGTCATCCTCCTCATGCTTCAATGGTTCAGATAAGTGTAAGCTTAGAGGATTTTGTACTGCCACTCCACCTTCCTGACCCACACAATTTTCAAACTCACTCTGAGAATGAGCTAAATCAGGATTAGACAGTGTAAAGACATTAACATCTCCTTCTCCCTTTTCCTGAAAATCGTTGACTGGATTACTAGAGGCAGCAAACTGTGGCATATGTTTTGATTCCATCTGAACAACAATAGCAAAAGCATTTGTGACAGAAACAGAATCTGCATCAGAAGGAAGAACATTGTCTTGAGACACCACAGAAGATAAATTGGCATTGTATTTTTGGTCAAGTGCAGCAGCTCCTTCAGCCATTTCACCACTTGAGGTTTCCTCATCACCAACCTCTATTTTAGAAGATTTCTCACTTGTTTCATCTACAGCATTACTGAAAGATTTTGCAATCTCAACCATGTCTCTGTCTGATTCAATCCCATCCAGTCCTTTCAAATTAGTCTCTGCAACAGAAGTCAAATTGCTACCTGTCACATGTATACCCATTTCTGGAATTACATCTGACATGGCTTCAGCTTTGCTAAGATGTGAGTTACTTGGAATACCAAAGGAATCATCACTATCTACAACAGTTGATGCCTTAGTCGTCAAATCTGAATCAGAAAATGAAGATGGCTCCACAACAAAGCCTGATGGTTGACCCAGCAACTCTGGTGTTTTTGCTACCTCAACCTCTTCACTTTTCAAAGCTCCAGGACTTTGAACTTGGAAGCCCTCACCCGACTTGACAATTAACTGGCTCACACTTGCAGCTGTGAAAGCAATTATTAGTACAGAGATGCGACATGGAAGAAACAAATCTAACATTAAAAAAATAAAGATAAGAAGAATGTGTAATAGACTCAGGTGGCTTAGTGCAAAACAGAATCTATTACTGAATAGTTAATAAACTCTAAGATGTTAACATGCTGATTGAACATCAAAGTTTTATTTTTTACTGGCACTTCCGCATTGGACAGCTGATCATCTAGATGCGATACGTAAAATGAAGAATCCTCCTATATGAATGTGCTCACTACGACTGAATGATGACAAGAAAAAAAAAATGAAGTCAAGAAACTTCTCTGCAGAGATTCTGCAGTCATTGTTCTTGAATCTTGATAATCATGCATCAAGCAAATTTATTTTCCGCAATTTCAACTCTTTTCAGACACAAATATTACACCCTTTCAAAAGTATTGACTCTTGACACACCAAGCACAGTTTCCAATTAACGATAATTATCATCAATACGCATAAAAAACATGTCAAGAAATACCCACAATTATCGTTGAATTCCTTACCGTAAGAACTTTATAAATAAACTCTTAGAAGTAGTTTTAGTATTCCGTACAATAAAGAATCAGTATACCACGACAGTGATGAATCTTAATTAACATGAAATAGTCCACACCCAACTTAACATTGCTACTTAAAAGCGTGATACTATTAAGACGAAACAGAGAAAGAAAAGTAAGTGCGTAATTCCCTTGCAAATCATAGCTGCATGCTGGAAAAAAATGAGAAATCATGAAAAACCAGATATTAAGTTCTTAATTGAACTAACAAATCAGCTAAATCAGAAATAACTTAAAAAATTTATCTGTTGATGAGAGGGGGAAAAACTGCAGACACGTCGATCGAGTATTCCAATTAATGTTGAAACTTACCATCAAAACATTTATTTTCAGATAGCTCTGAAAGTTTTGGAACCTTTCGGTCCATTTTTTCCACACTAATGGCTGAATCCGAACTTAATCCACCATCTGAAAAGTCTGCAACGGCATCTGAAAAAACCTCATCTTCTGATCTAATTAATTTTTCTCCAATCCCACCAACACCCTTCAAATTTTTACTCATTTCCATGGCGGGTTTTGGACCTGACACATCAAATTCCACACACATCAAAATATTAGTGAACTTGTTTCTCCCAGAGAATACAAAATTCAACAGAAATCGACACAAGATTAATTTATTTGGCGAGAGGGAGTCAAGCTCACTTAAGAACAAAAAATAGTTCAGTCACAGGTATTTCAAAGTAAACATATAAAATATATTGTTAGACTGACTTGGCATCTTGTGATCATCGTCAGAATCATCTGAAGCGTTGGAATGGGGCTGTCCCTCTGAGTCGAACAGTTGATAACCTTCAATGGTTCCACAGATCTTCTTGTGAGCACGCCTGTGTTTGGCACTTGGATGCGGATTTGGAAAGGGCCATCCACATTTGTGGCATACATAGACTCCATGACTCTCGTGCCCTTCAAAATCAACCAAGCACCATCAAAATTTCCAATTCCAGAAACTCATAAAACTGCCCAGACACAAGGTTCTCTTTCAAAAAGAAAGTAAAAGCGAGAGACAAAGACTTTCCCTTTAGAAAAACCAGAAAGACAGAGACTTCTCCGTAAAAGAAAGCAGAAAGAGATATAATATAAAAAGAGAGAAAGAAACTGCAAGATTGAGAAAAACAAGACAGGCTCAGAGACTCGTTAAAATAAATGGAAATAGCTAAAGGCACCTGGAGTGTGAATTCGTCTATGATCTTGGTTATCCATGTACAGGAAGACTAGAGCAACGGATCAGATAAAGGCGACCCAACAGCAGGGGAGAAGTAAGAGAAGGAATGGAGCAGACTGTGATGAAGCAGATGGAAGAGGACTTGTTGGTAGAAGAAGGGACACCAGAGTGGGGAGAGAGACCACACCACCAGGCCAGCGAGAGTAGAAGGGCACACTGATACGGTAAGCTTCAGACAAAAGGAAGGGCCGCCCATGTGGACTCTCTTGTCATTACACACGCCCGAAACAAGCACGATTGACCTACTCCCTCTTCTTCAATGGAGTATCTCCGAGACTTTGCAGTGATATCATGCAGTTACGACTCAGTGATGCGTGGGACACGATAAGCAAGTTGGAGCGGAGCACAGAGGATAGAAAACTTTCCCAAGCACGTGCGTGGTGCCCGTGACAACATTTCCGCCACCGCTGCGGATGTATTGCAATCAAACCCCTTTCCAGCCTTGATCCGTTCTCATCGCAAATGCTAAAACCACGAGACTGTGACATTTCATATGATGACGGCCAATGAATGCCTTAAAGCTGAACTGGGCCGGGAGTGTGAAAATGAAATAGTGTAAATTTGGTTTATAATAGACAGTAACATGTTTTGTATTTAGTAGTGAGCTTCCCAGTTCCAACCAAGATTGTACTCTCTCCGGGAATAGCAAATGTCCCACCCACCATATACACATACTATACATATCCCCTTTTTCATATGACAGCTCAGTCCAAACGCTATAAATACTTCGAACTTGTTTGATTGACAGTGTCTGTTTATTTTTCTATTTCTTAAAAAAAATAAACGCATGATTGTTTTGATAATTTAAATAACCTCCATTCCCACTTTTTTGCCAGGATACTTCTCAGTATATATCAAGCACTGCGTGAGTGATTTAATACTTCTGTTACTTTTCATTTTCGTCTACTTAATTAAACATGCATATCTTGAAATGAATCCAGTATACTCCTTCCTGTTTCTATGACCGCTGGTTTCATCTTAAAAAAAAAAAAAAAGGTTATCAGTGCTTGATATGAGTAGAGATTTTTAATTAGTATTTTTTATTTTACCCATGTCAAAATTATTAAATAGAGAAATTACTTTTAATTTAATGTTTTTATTTGGCCATCTAATGTTGTATTTCTCCCTCTTTTCCTCAAAAACTTTGTTTTACAGGAGATACTCCCTTTATCAAAATATATATATATATATAAGGCACTTTTTCTGATATAGTTTGTTCAAAAAAATAAGGTATTTTGGACCTTTTAGACTTTAGTATGCAATTAATGAGATTTTTATTAAAATACTCTTAATTAAATATGTCTTTAATAAAAAAATTTATCAAAACACCTTATTAAATTGAGGTCAACGTGAAAAAAATGCATAATTTTAAAAATAATTAACTAACATATTGAGGATATGATTCCTTAAAAATAACTTATAATATTAAACAGGTAACATTGGGAGTTTTTATTCTTTTAAATCTAAATAGGAGTAAAATTGGGAGTTTTTAAATTTTAAGACCAATTTAGCGAGTTACCTGTTATAACAAGGATAGGGGGTGCCATGTTATTTGTAACCCAAGAAAAAAATAAAAAAACAGGTAACATTGGCATTTTTCTCATACACAAGCGCCCATACAAACAGGTAACAGGTAACTTTATGAATGTCTGAGAAAATATAAAAAGTGTACGACACATGTTGAAAATAAAATGATTATAAAACAAATACCCAGATACAGTTTTGCTTGGATATAAATTGTATTACATTGCTTGGTGTTTTTGAACAGGTGGAGACTTGATTTTGTCATTTTCTACTCAAAGTTACAAATACATGTTGAATAAATTAAATAATTGCAGGGTCGTCAAAGGAGATGGGGCAATCAAAATCAAGATTAGAGAGTAGAATATAAAAATGTAAATATAATATAAGTATAGTCAGACGGCTGCTATTTAATTGTTAATTGTGTTTGATAATAATACGTGTGGCGAACTGGCGATGAAGTACTTACGTACGTCAACATGGACAACGCTACTGTGTCGGCGACAACACTTGACTAACATATCAAGATGGAGTCCAAAGTCCAGGCATGCCGGACAAGACCGGAAACCAGCAAGCTCGCTCCTTTTTTTTCCCCGTATTGTCAAAACCAAAGTACTCCTCATGTGTGCAGCAAATGTTCATGTATTTGTTTAAATATTTCACTTGTTTATTGCATCAAATTTACAGTAATCGCTGCTTAAAAAAAGCAAAAGAAAGTTATCAGAGTTCAGAAGATGAAGGAAAAAGGGGGGCAGAAATAAATAGGGGGAGGCCACAAGCCAGCACGGTTGTTGACCTGTTGTCGTCCACGTGGAGAGGAAATGGAACACCACCAACAGCATTAATGATAATAATAAATAATAATGGTAAATTAAGTACAATTGAGGTGGGTAGGCTGGCGGTGGGGGAGCGTGACTTTGAAGATAAAACAAGTGAAGGAGTTAAATATGGTTATTAGCTTTAACTTATAAGCTGCATCACAAGTCATTCCATGAATGGAATGATTGGACCATGTTTGTCTCCTTCCACAATAACTGGGCTTCTCACTTTCTACTACCTTTTCCCCCATGCCCCTCACTCCCCTATTATTATCATTGTTTATTGATTTGTTGGTAAAGTTACTCGTCAAGCCTTTTCATTTTCCGTCTGGGTCCCCGCATCTTTTGCTCCTTGCCTCTCTCATTCAATTTCAATTCTTTTATCGTCGGAGAAGCATCATAACGTAATGATAAATATTTGAATTTTTATTGTAAAATATACTTACATTTAATGTTTAACAGTGTCTTAAATAAAATTGCCTCACTGCAGGTGAAAAAGAAAGAAAAAAAAAAAAGATCAATCCATCATTTGCTTTACTCTCAAGGGATATCTGATTGTTACAATATTTTAATTTCAAGAAATATGGAAACATGTGAACTTTTTATGACTTTCTCTTCACTCTCTTACCTTGCCACTAATCCACATTATAAGTCCTGCGCATTACTCAGCGTTTAAAAAACAGGATGCATCATTCATCGCATATGAACAGTATGACTTTTTATAGATTATACTTTTTTATGCTAGATTTTTTTTTTTTTGGGAATTAGCGGTATCCTCCACCTACAAAAAGAAACTAATATGCTAGGATGATAATTTCAGTAGCGTTCAGGTTTTTACTGCTAGTGTTGAGACCATTAATATGATTACTAGACGTGATTCTAATAAACATCCCTCTAAAGACATTATTAACAAGGCTAGATTACTTTTGCATAAGAATTAGAATGTTAGCTTGGATTTCATGTGCAGACAGGCTAACACATGTATCCATTGTTAGCCACACAAACCCTTTCATGGCTGATGGTATTTTATTACCCCTGATCAACCCCAAGTTATTGCATCGATGTAGTGGACGATGAAGGATAAATGACTGAGAGGCTTGCTTAAGCATCCATAGTTAGCCACACAAGCCCTTTCATGGCTGATGGTATTTTATTACCTCTGATCAACCCCACGTTATTACATCAATGTGGTGGACGATGAAGGAGAAATGACTGAGAGGCTTGCTTAATTTATACTTTTTATGTTGTAAAAAATTGATTGTTTCCTCCGATAATTGGGAAAAGAGTTCGCGAGTCGTGATGCTTTGCCGGTCCAGGCCCATTTAACCTTCCTGGGCTTTTTAACATGGCCCACAATTCTTACTTCACGTTGCTTGGGCTGATCGGATAGGCTGGATTTGTTCTCTCTCAACGCAGACGCGGTCTGGGTCCGTTCGTACAAATTCATTTCCGCGCATGCTTCAGGTGACGTTTCCTCATATATCATTATTTTCTTTATCAGTATTAGTGTGAATTTCATTACACCGTCCCACAGGATTCAACAAACGTGTTGAACCGTTGGTGAATTATAAGCAATGTGATTTTTAGAATTTTTTATACGGTAAATAGATTAACGTAGATGTTTTCTCTTGAACCGGCCACAGTAAAAATAATAAATACATCACAAGTGACACTTTCCCCCCTTTATTCATACATCAATATATTAACTATGATAAATATATGTAACGAGTTTTATAAAACACCATGATATTTGTAGATAATGTACGACATGACTTGTTTATTAAACTTATCATATTATGACACTATATTCAGCTGATATATGTTATTTGTGATGTAATATTTTTGTTGGGAACTGCCTGCTGTGATTTAATGATTTCCTTTCTTTAAAAGAAAAGTATAGCTTATTGGGTGTATGGGGGAAAAGGCTTAGGGGAAATCTTTCCATAATTAATACATTTAATCTCTAACTAGATCTTACATAATAATTTAGATTTATGTTTTGGTAATATATAATTTTAGAATTAGAATCTATCAAGTGATGGCAACTTAAATTAAACGAGGAATACTCTTTACTTCTCTCCCAATTATCTCTCCCCACATTGTTCATGCTATTCACTTTAAATATCTTTTGCATTCTCTTAGCTTCATGACATGAAATGAAAATTATGGATGAATTAAATATTAATTAATCAATGAATAGTTCTTCACCTTTTTTTTTTAAAAAAAAAGTTTAAATAAGTTTAAAAAATTTTAGGATTTAGGAGTTTAGATTTTTTTTTCTCTAATTTTGTTCAAGTTGTTTGAATAAACTCAAAGAAATTTGGATCAAGTTCAAGTTCAAATGGATTAGTCCAAATACATAATTTCCTTTTTTATTATCAATAAAATAATATTAAAATAAAATAAAAACTAAAATTATTAATTTTTTAAATAAAAATTAAAATTAAATAAAAAATAAAATAATATCTAATAACTTAAATATTCAGACTAATTTGAAGAAGCCTAAAAATTTGAGAAGTTATAATTAAATTTAATTATATAAATTTTTTTATATGTTAAATTATTTTGAGTTCAATTTAAATAAGCAGAGCCTAAATTTAACCCAATACGAATAAGCCGCCACGCTTGATTACACGGTGAGAAATGCCTTGTTGTGGCCTGATTGTCTCGTGTTGGGGCATTTTTGCTTTCGTCTTCCCAACAACTGACTTTTTTCTTCGCTTCAAGGCACTTCTCAGTGTCTCACACTCCACTCACATTCTTGGCTTCTCTCTCCACCATAATTCCCTCACCTTTCTGAGTTTCTCACACTATGAACTCCGGCAACTCCGATAGACCCAAAGTTTTTTCACTATCAGAGCAACCCCAGCTCCTCCTGCGCAATGTTTTCGCCGACCTTCAATGGCGCTGTTCTTCTCTGGCCCACAACCTTACCCAGCTCCCGTTTCTCGACCTCCGAAACACCCTCTCCAACCTTCAATTTCATGCAAAGCATGCCTTAGATGCCGGGATGACCAACTTTTGTCTCACTTGTTCTCCCGGCAGAAGCCCCGCTTGGGCGTCTCTGGCCCAAAACAAAACTGAGTTTCGCCGCCCTGTGAGGGCATTGTCGACCGAAGCCATCGAAGAACGTTTGGCGGGCGTGCCTGTCTATGCACTCAGCAATGCTGCCGAGGAATTCGTGTTGGTTTCGGGCACTTCGACCGGCAAGAATCTTGGGTTGTTTTGCTTTAAGAAAGAGGATGCTGAGGCTCTTCTTGAGCAAGTTAGAAGTATTGACCCGGAAATGCGAAGCGGGTCCAAAGTGGTGCCTGTTGCTTTAAATAAGGTTGACGCTTGCTGCTATTTTTGACGTTGTGATGACTTTTTTTTTTTTTGAAAAAAAAAGTGGACTCTATATGTCACTCTTGAGTCTTGTGCAGGTCTTTCAGCTCAAGGTGGATGGAGTAGCCTTCAGATTGATTCCAGAGTCTTCTCAAGTAAAGAACGCTCTGAGAGTGAGTGGTTCATAGCTTTGTCATGTTTTCTTTCCAGTACATTGTTATGTGTAGGATTCGACTTTGCTCTAGAAAAGATAAAGGCAACAATAGAAAAACACTGCTCAATCTTATTATTCGGAAGGACTGTACAATCTGTCTTTTATAGGCAGAAATGGGTAAAGAGAAATAAATGCACCTCACCTACCCTTGCAATATTCTAGAGCCAATATTTAAATAATAAATAAAGATTAAACAAATGTAATAATAACATTAACTCCCTCCTTTACTTTTGACCTCTTGCAATATTCTAGAGCCAATATTTAAATAATAAATAAAGATTAAACAAATGCAATAATAACATTAACTCCCTCCTTTACTTTTGACCTCCCTCTTCTTCTTCATTACAGAAATAGTAAGTTCTTGGAGTTTCTTCTTGGATGGGGTGATTGTAACTCCAAGTTTGTCTTGTAGGCTCCAGAATTTTGAGTGATGTAGAGGTTTGGTAAGAAAATCAGCAATTTGCAAGTCAGATGATGCATATTGAACTGAAATGATCTTCGAGAGAACTTGATCTCTTGCAAAATGAGCATCTATTTTGATGTGCTTTGTTCTAGCATGATGAACCAGATTTGAGGCCAAAGCTGCTGCACTTGTGTTGTCACGCCATATCATGGGAACACGCTTGATTTTGAACTTCATCTCATCTAATCCAGCATACTTCAGTAGATATATCAGCTAATGGCCTGTATTCAGATTCAATATTGAATCTAGCTACCACTTTCTGTATCTTAGATGACCAAGTGACAAGAGAATCCCCTAGAAAAACATAATAGCCTCCAACTTAGCGTCTATCATCTAGGCAAGAGGCCCAATTTGCATCTGAATAAGCAATCACATCTAAGACACTTGAAGGTTTAATGTGAATGCCATAGTTCATAATTCCTTTTAGATATCTCAATACTCTCTTTACTGCCTTCCAATGTTCTGATGTGGGGTTTGACAGAAACTAACTCAATTTACCAACACTAAAACTAATGTCTGGATGTGTGTTTCACAGATATTGCAATGCACCTACCACATTTCGATATTTATAGGAGTCTGAGAGTGGTTCACTAGAATGCACAGATAATGATTTGTGAGCGGCCATAGGGGTTTGACAAGGTGAGGCAAAACTCATTTCAAACCTTGATAGCAAATTAGAAATATATTTCCCTTGGCTGAGATACAATCCTGTCTTATCTCTATGAACTTCTTTTCCCAAGAGATAATGTACAGGACCCAAATCTTTCAAAAAAAATGCTGTGCAATTTTTTGGTGAAAAGCTTTAAACTTTGAGGGTTACTCCCAATCACAAGGATATCATCCACATAGATTAGAATCAACATGATTTGAGTTTTATCAGTATATATAAATAAAGAGGTGTCACTCTTTGAGTTTGTAAAACCCCATTTTAACAGAGCATCTCTGAGCTTGTCAAAAAGCTCATGGAGCTTGTTTTAATCCACACAAAGCCTTGGAGAGTTTGCAAACATAGTGAGGTCTCAAAGGATCCAAAAAACCTTTTGGTTGTTCCATGCATACAGGTTCAGACAAAGCTCCATTAAGAAAGGCATTGTTTATGTCAAGTGGATTTATATCCCAGTTAAAATAAACAGCCAGAGAAAGAACAATCCTGATGGTAGAAAATTTGACAATTGGCCTGAAAGTTTCATAGAAGTCAATACCTACTGTTTGTTGGAAACCTTTAGCCACCAATCTAGCCTTTCTTTTGCAAGATATTGATTTGCATGATACTTGGGTTTGAAAATCCATTTGTTTCAACCACATTCTGATGTTATCTCCAAGGCACTAGTGTCCAGGTTGCATTTCGTTTGAGGGCTTCAAATTCTTCAACCATTGCCTGTTTCCAAAGAGGAGAGTTGAGAGCGGCTGTTACAGATGTTGGCTCAGTTTCTGTCGAAACAGTGCCATTTGCAAGTCCAACATAAGGGACTTTAGGCTTGGAAATGCCTGATCTGCTTTTGGTTTGCATAGAACGAACATTTTGAGCTGTCACAACGGGTTGAACAGGAGCTAAAATGCCATTAGATAAGTCTGTTTCAGCATTGGTAGCCTCAAAATGAGGTGATTCAGAAGGTATATCCATGTACTCAGATTCAGATTGAGATGTTGGGGTGGCTGGATCTGACTTTATAACAGAAAAAGGATGAGGTTCAGATGATGTGACATTTGTTTGGGAGATTGTACCTGATTTATGGTAGGAAAACCCTGAGTCTGATTAGAACACTCTCTTGTAGACTGAATAGTAGGAGAAACTGTAGAAAATGCCTCAACTTGTGTAGGAAAAGGACTTGATGAAGTCAATGCTTCATTTTTCTGAGGTTGTTTCAGATTGATAAAACCAGCAGAAAAAGGGAACTCTGCCTCATTAAAGATCACATATCTTGAAATATAAACTCTTCTAGTAGAGCTAAGGCATTTATAACCATTATGTGACCCATGATATCCCAAGAAGACACATTTGACATTATGAAATTGAAATTTATTCTGGTTGTAAGGCTTCAAGCAAGGAAAACTAGCACAACTGAAAGTTTTAAAACCTGTATAATTAGGTTTCTTCTCATACAACATCTAATAAGGAGAAAAATCATCTAGCACAGCAGTGGGAAGTCTATTTATCAGAAAAACAGCAGTTGAAAATGCTTCCCACCAATAAAACCGAGGCATGGTTGGGCTAGCAAAGTTGTCTCAACAATATGTCTGTGTTCTCTTTCTATTCTACCATTTTGGGGAGATGTGTGAGAACAAGGATGTCTAAAAATAATTCCATTAGAATCAAGCAAAGGCTTAAAAGATCTGATCTCTCCTCCCCAATCACTTTGAAGAATTTTTATCTTTTTGTCAAATTGGTTTTCTACCATTTTCTTAAAATGAGTAAAAGCATAAAGAGCTTTATCTTTTGTTTTTAAGGGATATACCCAAGTATATCTGAAGTCATCCAAGAAACTAATATAATACCTGTGCCTCCCAGTAGAAACAATTGGAGATGGTCCGCAAAGATTAGTGTGAACAAGCTCAAGAGGTTTTGAGGCATGAGATTGTGATACTAGGAAAGGTAACTTGTGAGATTTGCCCAATTGATGAGAGTCATAGAAATGAAGATTCTCATTAGATTGAAAAGAAATATTACAATCTTTAAGCACTCTATGCAACACTTTATTGCTTGGGTGGCCAAGTTTCCTATGCTAGGACTCCAAAACAGAAACAAAAGCTCTAGAAAGACATTTTTGATCTAAGTCAGACTGGCTTTTAGCAAAAATAAAATTCGTAGCATTAAAACAACTTGCAGGTAACACTTCATTGTCTATCTTGTAAAGCCCTTACGTTGGTCTTCCATGCAGCAACACTTCATGCGTTCCCTTGTGCTTCACAAAACACTTCTGTGAGTGAATTTCAACAAAGATATTCTTATTATTAGTTATGAGTTTGTAGGGTCTAATTAGCTTCTTAGTTATTTTGGGGACCATTAAAACATCATTAATAGCCCTATTTTTAGCATTGGAGTCACATAACAGCATAGAATTCCCAGTCTTAGTCACATGTAAAGGCTTTCCATCACCAATGATGAGAGAGTCAATACTTGAGACATTACCATTCCCAGTTGTTAACATTTTCAGCATTGTCTATCACATGATGAGTGGCACCACTATCTAAATACCATTCTGGATTAGTCAGTCTTGGGAGTAGCAACATAAGTAGAAGTAGAGAAATTTTCTTGCTGAGACTGTGAAGGTCCCATATAGTTCCTATTGTAGCAATGGTAACATTGCTTCGTGTCATGACCAAACTTATGACACAACTGACATTCCTTGTCTAAGTGGCCATGACTGGTATAATTTCTACCTCCTCGTCCCCTACCTCTTGAGCCATGATCTCTCCTTCCATGCCAATTGTTGTTGCTGAAACCTTGTTGACGAGTGGAGCGAATAGAGAGATTGGCAAAAGGCAGAGGTAATGTTTTGTTGTGTATTAGAATGAATTTGCTCTAAGTGAGCCTCATAGGTTAGTAACTTCAATTGAAGAACAACCCAAGATATGTCCTCCTTTTCTGTAAGATAAACAAAAATGGGAGTGTATTTAGTGTCCAAACCAGCAAGAATTTGAGTTACTAGATCACTTTGAGAGATTGAGCGGCCGGCAAGTGTCAGATTGTCATAGATGTTTTTCATCTTGGTCAAATACTCCTCCCTCTTGAGTAGTCCTTTTAGTGTGCATTGGAATTCACCTTTTAGGATGGTGATTCAGGATTTGCTACTAATTCCAACAAGATCCTTGATGCCTATAGTTCAATGGAAGTCTTGCAATGAGCAATTTAGGATGCAATCTCAATAGTCATCGTACTATAGAGCCATCCAAGGATCAGTTGATTAGTATCTTGCCATTCCTCATATTCAGGATTTGGAATGACCTCCAAAATGAACATAAGGAGAGAAAGGAGCAAAGAGTGGTCCATTCAGGTTGAGGGGAAGCACGGTTTTTGTGGAGGAAGGAATAGAGGTTTGGGAAAAAGACGGAGAGGGAGCAAAAGTTGTGGATGCCGCAAGCAACTGAGGAGGAACGTTAGGATGTGAAGGGGTGAAGGTAAAAAGGGCAAACAAATAAGGGAATGGAGTACAAGGGAAGTGACTAGGGTTAATTAAAACAGGAGTGAAAATAGATACAGATTCACACGGTGTTGAGATGGACGAAAACGGAACAGCGTTGTTGAAGGTTAAAGAGGAGGTTATGGCAGTAGAGGGATTAGATCTTTCGAGATTGGAAGTCATGGTTGAAGGCTTTGGTTCTGGTACCAAGAAAAGATAAAGGCAACAATAGACAAATACTGCTCAATCTTAGTTTAGGAAGGATTGTACAATCTGTCTTTTATAGGCAGAAATGGGTAAAGAAAAATAAATGCACCTCACCTATCGTTGCAGTATTCTAGAGCCAATATTTAAATAATAAGTAAAGAATAAACAAATATAATAATAATATTAACTGCTCTAACTTGACTTGATTGTATGTTATTGTGAGAACTGAGATAACAATGATTCATGTTTCATTTTTGTATCAGTTGTAAAAAAATGATTTAACATGTATTTGTTTATCATCTTATCATGCTTTACTATTATTTCTCATCATCACCATTGTTGCTGCTGCTGCTATTCTTATTACCATTATATGTTCGGCGATAGATAAAATTGAATTTACTAAAATTTATGCTTAAATGATTCTCAAGGTGCATTCTGCAGTTTTCATAAGGTTAATTATTTTTCAAGCATTCAGATTAGATTCTATATAAAACATGCATTTTGATACTTGTGGTGCTCTGGTGATTGGAAATTAAAATCAAGCCATAAATTATCTGCTTGAAATTGAAAATCTAACAGTCAAAAGTTTACTTTCCTGTGGTGCCTCTAAATAAATCTGCCTGTGATCCTTCTGGTACTTGAAAAAAACATCTAGAATATACCAAATCAAAGGACACCATTTATAGTGATGAATATGTCTGCTGAAGAATGCTTGTGTGGAAATCAGTTGATAGTTTTGCAGTCAAAATTACATATGTCATAGACATGAGCTTGGGTACTTATGCATACTCCATTGCAAATTGTCTTCTGTTGCTTCTTTCCTTCTTGTTCTCTAAACGCCATTGCAAATTTTTAACTTATTTGTGTTTAATTTTTGGAATGGTCTTGGTCCAAAAAGAAAATCTTGGAATGGAGTCAAATCATCAGATGATGTACAGTGTTCGGCCATGTCTATGCAATGCTTTCTATTCCCATCTGTGTGAATTAGTGGGAGCAAACTAAGTAAAAACTTTAGGTTTTCACCAATTCTGGCAACTTGGGGGGGGGGGGGTACCACTCACAAAGCCCTGAGAAGTCCTTTTAAAAAGCACATTTTCTAAAAGCTTGTTCGGGTAGAAGAAAGATTGTTTTGAAAGTCCATTCACAAACCCTAAAAGCTCTGGAAAAGTCAGTTTGGCAAGTGCAAACAAGAGTTACTTTTTATTATTTTGAAGGTCAGTTTGGCAAATTTACTTTTAACTTTTGAAAATCAAACACACACTAGTTGTTGACTGGACAGGTTGGCAGGTCATATCTTTCTTAGTTAAACTGGTCAGTGTGGTCCATTTTTCACAACATTGATCTTGCTTGCTGAAAATGTGATGGTTGTAAACCGGTAAAGTTAGCTGGATAACCCAATACTTGAGCTATACAGTGATGGTTATGACTGCGTTGTGATTTACAGGAGAGGGAGAAGTCTGGCTTTTCGTCCAACAGCTTTTCTGGAGTTCCAGTTTTCCAGGTTTTGTTTTTAATCTGGATATGTTATTTGCGTCTTACTTTCTATGCCGCAATCTATTGGCAGGATTCATGAATGTTTTGAAATAGGCTTTCTGTCTTGGATCAAAACGCTTTGCAGCATGTTAACGTTATATAATTGAGTAAAGGACATATATAGTTTTGAGGACGTAAATAGTTGAAGGTATAAAGAAAGGATTGGATAATAGAGAGAGAAGAGTCCATCCTTGAAGTTCAGGTTCTTGTTGTATCAATAACAGTCTGAATTCTGGATAATTCTTTTATAGCATAGCTTCTGTTCTTACCCCTTAAATGGCAGAAATTGAGGATGACGTGCATAATTGAGTGAATGATTATGGTATGTGTAAAGACATATATGCATACAAGAAGTACAACAATTATTAGGTGAACCTTTAAAATCTATGATGTGTATCTGTTGATAAACAGCAGGGAATGGTGTGCAAAATTGGATGAAAAATTAATGACATGGATGGGGGCATTCACGCATATAAATATGTTGATGGAACATATTTGCATGGATGATGATCATTAAAAGGAAAAATTGTCGAATCTATGTCTCTTGGAAGCTAGGTTGCTTATCTATTGATAGAGATAGGCTGGGAAGGTTGTGCAAAATTGGGTGGATGATTAAGGACATGCATATAGACGTGTGCATACAAGAAGGATGGCAATCCTTAAATTGGTTTGGTGTACCTTTGATGTACTAGCTTGTTACAAGGAAATCCCATAAGCTTTAGAATTATCTATATGTTTCAACAGTCTACGATTGTGGTAAGTCATACACCAATGAACGCATAATTCGAAATCACTGTACTAATAAATGTATTTTTGCCTGTACTTTAAGTGGTATGTCTGAGTCTATGTACTAGAAGGGGGAAAATCTGGGAATATGTGCCTCTTTCCCTTGCCTTCACGCTCAAGTTAAAGGAGAAATTTAGTGATATTGAAATCTGCAGTATTTAAAAGAAACACTTTGGTCTATTAGTATTGACATTTGCAAGAAAGTAATCATTCCTTTGTCAACTTATATATGAGACATTCTATTTACTTGTACGTACAACACTTTTGGTTTTAATGCTATGCCAATCTAGTAGCTTGGTTGTGGAATAAGTAGTAACTGCTCCATTCTGAATTGACGACCTTTCCAGAATATACTGATTGTACGTGGAATGAGATTGAATGAGGTGCACAAAAAAATTTTCAGATGTGAAAGTTGAAACTCTTGCAAATATTACCTTTTTTCAGGAAAGATAACAACTGAAGAAGCTGAGTTTCAATGTGATTGCAGTTATGCGATGTGTTATTTAAAAGTTGTACATTTTGACCTTGGAGTGCATTCTCAAACCTTCAATAAGTGTGTTGATTTGGGTTTCTTACTAATCTTTGAGTACACTAGTTAGGTTTCAAAGTCTCTAGTCTCATTCCTTGCCTCTATGGCTCTATTCTTATTCTCCTTCTTATTTTATTTTTTTCCTTTTTTAAGGAAGGGTGTTGTGAATGAAGTTGGGGTGCCTTTGGACTCCAGTTATTATTGATCATGCTGTTTGTTGAATTTCAAGTTTTTTTTTTTCTCAATTGGCTGCCATAATAAAGGATAGATAGCTCATATTCTGGAATTTGAGTGCTTCTTAATGTGTTATAATTTTGATAGTCATGAAAATTGCTATTCATCCTATAATCTGCTGTATTCTACATTTAAGAACATATTATGCTCTCAGTAGTTCCAATTTGCCAGTGCGTTCATGCAGCATATGAGTTTATTAAACAAATTTGACAGCGTTGGAAACTGAAGGGTAGCTTTAAATTATGAAGGTTTCCAATCTCAGTTGGACTGGTTTTGCTTGTTGGTTCATGTGCTTAATTTGCTTATTTATTTGAGAATCTTATCGTCTTTTTTTTTTGGAGTTTATTCCTGAATTAAATCTTATTTAGTTAAGGAAGCGTAGTTATCAAAGTAAATAGGGTTGAGAACTGCGTTTACATTATTTGAGTTGATGAGATTTGTAAGTGTAAGTCAGGAATATGGGTCGGATTATGTGGGTTGGCTCAAATAACCGGTCACAAAGATCGGGTCGGGTTGGAAAATTGACTCAAATGAAAATGAGTTTTTTCTAACTCAAACCATATAACCTGTGAACTATATAGGTTAACCCTGATGGGTTAGGGTTGGCTCGTTTAACCCATATTATTTAAAAAGAAAAAAGAAAAAAGGAGAAAATTTTGTGGATGTAAACCATATTAGTCATGACTTACTTAGCTGTATCAATTTATATATTTTGTACAAATATTATAAATTAATATTTTGGTATATTTAGAATAAATCATGAAAAAAATATCAAATTGGAACTTATTATTTAGGTGCATTTTTAAAAAAAATAAATAAAGGGATTAGCGGGTTTGCCCATTTAACTTGCCAACCCTTAAGGCTTGGGTTGAGTTGGGATTTCTTCAACCTTCCAACCCATATAAAAACGGGTTGAACCTAACCCAACTCATATTTCTCTAAACTCATATGAGCCAACCCATATGGGCCGGGTTGGCTCATATTCTCACCTCTACTTGTGAGCCAAGCTTTCTTACTTTCCCCTGTCATCTCCCTAGCTATTATTTCTTGCTGCCGTTTCCAATATATGCATGAGCGTGACATCCTGGAATTCCTTATGTTATTGCTTGCTGACAGCCTAATAATAAAGTCTCTCAAAGTATGCAAGCATAAAATTCTTCAAATGTTTTGTCCATAAAACCCTAAATCTAGGCCATCTGAAATTCTGTTTATTTACTGCCTCTATCTGATTCCCCTAAATCATGATCCATGTCTTCTGCAATTATGGTTACGACTCTTTTAGAAGCTGTAAACACATCTTCAATCCAGGATAGACAGATTCCCTGTTTCTGTCTTGCATCTATTCTCTTTATGAGGTGTGAACAGTGAATTTAAAAAGAAGCTAAGTCTACTCTCATTGTCCTTGTGGAAACTTAAAATCCCTGAAATAGCACTAGTGACATGAGAGCGACCACACATGCATTTACAGTAAGCGATACTTGCTGAGTATGGTGGCTTGGATGTACCCTTGTTTAGTGTTTGAGGGTGCAGGAATTTCTGAATCTGGTGTTCTGAATTGTATCCTTGGTTGGTTTTTCAGTCCAGAAGTCTGATATTAAAGAGTGAAAAGAAGAGATATCGTCCATTTTTCTTTAGAAAGGTGTGGTTGAAGTACCTGTCTTGAATTACCTTCTGTAAGGCAGTAGTATTCCAACTGAAAATTATGTAGTTCTCATCTTCTGGAATTTTGCAGGAGGATTTGGAAAATTCGCTTCAAAGGGCTTCCAATCAGCAGAATCAATTAAATCCTATCTTCAGACCAGGAGAAATCCAGGTACAGGCTACATTAACAGTGGTAAATAGACACAATGCTCATTAAGAGTTCCCATTGAAACCAAGAAAAAATAGGCCAGTCTACCATCTAGACCAGGATAAATTAAGTTTTCTTAAAGACCTGCTCGTGGAGAAAGGCCTTACAAGGACGAAACAGTCCCCTAAATGGCTGCCTTGCTGATCTAGTAGATTAATCTGTGATTTATATTTTCCAGGTTGCTGTACTCGAGGAAGTAATAAAGGGAATGAAGGTGAGCTTGAATTCCACTTAAGAAGATAATATAAAAGAAAAGATCATCATAGTCTGAATTGTTATTCTCTATTCTAAATTGGCAATAACAATTAAATGACTTTGCAGGAAAGTTCTACATGGGAGGATGTTGTTTTTATACCTCCTGGATTCGATGTCTCTACTGAATCCAGCGAACGATGAGGCATGATCTGGGAATGAAATTGATTATTCTTATTTTTCGCATTCTCTTACTTCTGGTATAGCCTCAAATACACCAAAGGATTGCTTAGAGTAGGATTTGTCCATATAACTTGTTCTTACTTCGAAGTTGCAACTCTTAAATAATGCAAGTAATGAGATATGTTATTGCATTATATGAGAGATAGATTGGATTTTTTGTTCTCAATTGGATCAGAACTGAGTCCTTATTTTTCTTCGGATTCATGCGAAAACTCTCATATTGTGCAAATGTACACCCACTGAAAGTGAGATGTGATGATTGACTGATTAAATCTGAGAACATGGATGGTGGATGCACTATTGTTTTCATTTTTGTTTTTTTTTTTTCCTTGGACATAGGGTTCATGTGAGATGCTATGCCAGTATGATTTGGATGTTATGACGCGTAAGAATTAAGATGTGACAATTTTGGGTATTTCATTGTCAACAAATCCTAGAAATATCACACGGCATCCTTTTTTTTTTTTTTTTTAAGTTTCAGGCGAATAAAAGGAATAGTTTTGAAGGTGGTTTTTCCCGGTTCAATAAAGACATGAAAGGGTCTGTGAATTGGAAGTGAAAAGATGTGTGAATAATGGTAAGTTACTGGGCTTTCTATTGAAAACGGTCCTGCTCTTGAAAGTGTTAATAGCGTGGATGGGAGGGCAAAGGAGAGCAAGTCACGGAAGCATTGATATGGAAATTTGGAGTTTAGCTTGGACAGCTTTTTAAAAATTGATACATGGCAGATGCCCCTACATGCCCATTCTTTGGAAGGAAGTAGTCTTGTGATGAGCGATTGAGCGTGAAATTGAACTCAGAATGTGGTGCTCACTATAAAGATTATTAGTCATATTAGTAACTGTTAATACTACGGATTGGGTTCATACGATTCAAATGTTCTATGAATGAAATATTTATTTATATGTAATTTATAAATATTTTTATAATTACTTTTTTAGATGTGAGGCTTGTCTCTGATATGTTTTTAATTTGTTAAGGTGAAAAGGGGGATGTCATGTAGTATAATCCCCCCATTCAATATTATATGATTTTTTTAAAAGTATTGTGTTAAAAAATATAAGATTTTTTTGGATCTTTTAATATATAATTAATAAATTAATTTCAAAAATATCGTTAATTATGGGTATAATTATTTTAATTTTTTAATTGAGGCATTTTATCAAATAAAAATAAACAATGAAAGAGTATAATTTTAAAGATATAAAGTGTAATTGTTTAAATATATTAGCAGTCATAAAAGGCAATGATTACTGATTGGCGGGCCATTCAACCTGCCCTCATGCCATTTTTATTTTAATAAATATATATTATTTAGGCATTCATCAATCACCTTCATCAAGCACCGCCTCTTTAATTATGGTTTCGGCGCCTTCTACGCTTTTTTCCTTTCCGTTATATTTATAATTTTCTCTTCCTCCCTCCATTTACTCGGCCCCCCTTTGAAGAAGTTTCCTTGGATTTGTCATCTTCCATTTATTATTTAAACCCATTATTATTATTCCCTCGTGTTTGTAATTAACTATTTTTTTTCATGATTTTTATTATTATTCCATGGTTTTTTTATTGATACTGATTGAAACCTGTCTTCAATTTATTTGCTTATTTATCAATCTTTTGATTTATGTACTCATCGAATATACATGAACATCTTTGTTCCAAGTTTCAACTATTATGTGTTGAATTGAGTCAAAAAAAAAAAAGAAAAGAAAATGTTATATGTTCAATGCACTCTCAACAACTCAGCAATAAATAAATTAATGTAGACCCACCACCTCTTCTCCTCTTCCTTGTGATCTCTTAATTGCTTTCCTTTATTCGGTTTCATGGCCTTTCACTTTTTTCAAATTCTAAAATATCTTCTCTTCAATGAATACCATTAAAAAAATAAATAATAAATTGACTTTTAAATTATAGGTTCAAGAATGTTATAAATTTTAAAATAAATTATTTCTTTTTAATTTTTAAAAATGATGCAATATGCCTCTATCATTAATAAAATTTAATTTTAACCATTAGTTACAAAAAAAAACAAAAAAGATCTCAAACATTACAAAAAAAAATCACAGAAAAGGATAAAAAATCACAGATAGAGACCTAAAAAAATTACATAAAAGGACAAGAAAATTTAGGTTGGATCTGATAGCTACATATTTTGTTAATTTTATTAGTGTTTTTTTATGTAATTATTGAGATCCTTTTATGTCATTTTCTGATCAATTAATAATATTGCATTATTTTTAAAAATTAAAAAAATAAATTTCAAATTTCAAATATTTATGAATTTATAATTTAGGAGCCAATTTGTTTTATAACCCAAAAACAATAAGATCCCTGATACATTTAAAAAACAAGAGATTGATGGGAACCATGGCATGCATGTTCTTACGTAGACAGAAAATCTATTTACTTTTCTTGAGTGTAGTTCTGCACTACAAATTGAAATTTTGAAAAGAAAAATAAATATTAGAAAGAATAACAATTAAGTTTCAAAATATTGAATTAATATCAGTTAAATCCTAGATAATTTTTTTAAATAAGTTAAAAATATCAATATAAATTATTACAAATCTAGGAAATTCAATTGCAAATAAGTATTTAAATATCAAATGTAACTTTTAGATTGTAGTAAAAAATTTTGTTTGTAATTGTTTGAATTGATATTTGTAATTCATTCAACAACAACAACAAGCTCTATCCCACTAGGTGGCATCAGCTACATGAATTATATAACGTCACTAGGTGGCATCAGCTACATGAATTATATAACGTCATTGTGCTCTATCATTTATTAAGTTTTTAAAAATATTGTTAATTAAAAGGTCTCGCTCAATAACCTCTAAAAGTATTCTCTTCTATCTTCCTTTCCCTTTTTTGATAGGGCTCAAAGTCATCCATTTCACTTTTCTCATAGGTGCATCTCGTGGTCTTATTTATACATGTCCAAACCACCTCAAACGATTTTCTACCATTTTTTTTAATAAATGCCACACCCACAATAATATTTATAATTCATTATTGTAAAAAATTTTATCAAAAATTTAACTGTCATTGATTCATTCTTTTAAAATTTAACTGTCATTTATTTACCCTCTTTTTCTGTAAAGCAGAAAAAAAAAATCATTTCCCATGATGAATAATCGTACACAGAGGGAAAAGGTGAGCAAATTTTTGACGAGAGAAGCCGATATTAATGTTCATTTCGTAGGAACGCTTAATGGTGCCAAATAGCTGTCATAAACCTAATTAGACAAGCATCATCCCTAGTAATTTTATATCACGTTTTAGTTGTTAGACCATATTATAGCTTAAATTTTTGAACCAACGTGGGGTCTGATTTGTCTAAACCTCCTGTCTTATTATCATACTCGAATTAAAATCCATGTTCTATTATGTTGATTGTGACCTCAAAATGTCACAACGTTATCTGGTTCTGTTTGGAGATATCTGCCATCGGTGAAATCATATCCAGGTTCAGGAAAACTACAATTCTTGCTAATTAAACAATGGTGCATTTCTGAAATATGATTGCACCATTTAGTTCATCATTATCACTATAATTAAGCAGAATGTGACCACTTTAATCTTCATTAATTAAATCTCAAATGCCATGAGTCTCGTCACTGAGCTCTGGGGATATAAATCACACATTTTATTTTATTTTATTTTTTTAATAATGTCTTCGTCCTCACTTTGAACACAAAGCTGTGATTAAATTAATGCAACAAACAATGAGGCCAATCTCATTCCCCAACCATCCAATCGTTATCATCATTGTCAGTTTAGTTGTATCCAGCAATTACATTTCACTATCCGTTTATTCCATATTCACATTCATCTCGTTCATTTGTCCTTTCATTATTCTTCAGTCCAACCCACCAGACTTTGAAAGAAATGTGAACATATAATTAACAGGAATCAGTATCTGAATACAACTATTGTATTTGCAACGCAATTAAAAAAAAAAAAGGAGTGATATTAGTGTCTGTATTTTTAAAAATTTGCACAATTCTCTACGAAAAGATTAAGATAACCATAGTATATATTATTGGATTTTACTAAATTTGCACAAACTTCGCTCTTATTTTTAGAATTCATATTGGCTTCATTCTCCAAGGATAAAAAAATAGACCCGACCCCCAAAGCTTCTTTAAATAAAAAGGAAAAGAGGACATATATAATGGCCGAAAGCATCAATCATATGAAGTGGCTTGGTACTATACCATCACCACCATGCTTCTTGTTTTCTTTGCCAAAAGAGTCATAAGAAAAGAAATGAAGAAAGCATGCTTCCTGTTTCATGGATGTGAAATAAATTAAAAGGAAAAAAAAAATTAAACCCCAATATTAGCCATATATACATAAAAATCAGGTCCAATAACTTAAAAAGTCCTCACATGGTTTTATTAAATTAGGTGTCATCATTTCATTTGAGATGTCTTTTGCAGCAAAGGTTGGAGATTCTGTCTAGTTTTGCTAGCTGGTGATTCCCACTCACTTATACTATGAATCTCTCATTAGGTTAGAAGCCACTCTCCATGGTGGTTTCACTATATTATAATCATAATAATGAAGCTGTTTCCTGCATAATTCAGCATAAACACACAATTAATAAAGCTTCATGTTGCCATATTTCAGAAAAGATTTTTAAGATAAACTCAGCTCTCAGCCTAGCAAAAAGCTGCATGCTTTAGTAAATTTACTGTCATTATTAGTCCAGCTGACATATCCCTCATTCCAAGGTCTTGCTTTTAGAGCACTTCCCCATCAGTATCTGGACCATCCATGTGAAGGATATCCCTTGGCTTCTGTAGAATTCAATTGGCACAGTGAGATATAGTTTCAGGTTTCTGGGTTTCGTTTGCTGTTTGATCTTCTCAAAAAATGATGGCTAGTGGATGCTGATGATACAACTGTGATTTTTTCTGATTAATAAGCTGTCTTGATCTCATACACTAATCGCAGCAGGAGATTCATATGAGAAACTGTGTTGTGTAATTCAAATCCAAGAAGTTTTGTTTTTATTCAAAGTGATGCTGATGCAACAGCCAGAGACAAAGGGAGCAAAGGGGTTATCAGTTCTCAGTATCACACAACTCAACTGGATAGCTATGCCACCCCATATCTCTGCCACTCTCGTGACTGTGTTTTTAAACTGAATATTATAATCAACATGTTTGAATTCCTTACAGTTGAAGAAATTGGAGGAGGATGCTGACTCGGAATTCACCCTCACACGTGGCATCAACTTAGTGGATCCACACTTCATGATTGATGGTCCCTGTGAAACATGTAACACATAATATGCCTCGGTGGCTTTATTCTCCTTCTTCTTCTTCCCCTTGTCTACGTATGGGCATAAGAGCCTTAAATAAACAGAGCCATTGTGCATAGCATAGCATCCTCTGAATGAACCCAAAAGAACCTAATAAAAGTGTGTAACCAATGCCCAAACAAAAGCTTCCAGCTTTTTTCAAAACTCTGCTAAGCTGGCACCAGCTTCATCCATCCATCCATCTCTATCTCTCTGTTATTGCTCCCTCACGCGTCCCAACCCCACCCATTCTCCTTCATCCCTTATATATACCCACCTCTCTCTCACACACACTTGTTCACATCACAACTCACAATCTTCTTCTTCTCTACAAAAATGGCTTCTTCTTCTTCTTCTTCTTCTTCTTCTTCTTCTTCTTCTGTGAATAGGTTTTTCGTGCCATTACTTGTTGGCATAGTGGTTAGTTCAATGGTGGTTGCCTGTGCTGGTAACTTCAACCAAGATTTTGATCTATCATGGGGTAGTAACAGAGCTAAGATCTTCAATGGAGGCCAGCTTCTATCTCTGTCTCTAGACAGAGTCTCTGGCTCTGGCTTTCAGTCCAAGAAAGAATACCTTTTTGGGAGGATTGATATGCAGCTTAAGCTCGTTGCTGGCAATTCTGCAGGAACAGTCACTGCTTACTATGTATGTTTACTTGTTATGATAATGATCTTTGCATTCCAAGCAACACTTCCTCCACTTCCATTATACATATTCCTTTCTTCACATTTCATTATACTTTTTTTGTTTGAAATAAAAGCAGCTTTATTCTTCTTCATTATTGGATTGCTTTATCAAGGCACATCAACCTTTTTAAAGGAACCGTACATTCACGAGAACTTCTATTTTACTGTTGCTATCCCACCGAAACAAGTTATGTTACAGGATTTTTATTTTGCGTTTTTTTCTCGGTGTTGTTAAACTTGAGAATTTGTCAACTTGTCCCTATTCATGCTACGTTTGTGACTTCAATATTCTTGACACCGATAGTTTAATATATATATATATATATATATATAAGTTTATAAGTGGTATAGTAATTTATTTAGCAACTAAAATAGCTGGCTGACAGAAAAGAAAAAAGGACTTGTGCTTCAAAAGGCTCTCTGTTTCTGAATTAATTTCTTGTGGCGGAAGTTATATATATATATATATATATATTAAACAAATTCACACTTTACAAGAAAGCTTCTGTATTTGTGATCCTTGTCTCATGCTGTGACAAGAAGAGCAATCAAAGTAACAATAAATATTTGCATGTTTTGGTGCAGTTGTCATCCCAAGGGCCAACCCACGATGAGATCGATTTTGAATTTTTGGGAAACTTAAGCGGTGACCCTTACATTCTTCACACCAATGTCTACACTCAAGGCCAAGGCAACAGGGAGCAACAGTTCTATCTCTGGTTCGACCCCACCAGAAACTTCCACACTTACTCCATCATCTGGAAGCCCCAACACATCATGTAAGCAAAAAAATAACATAGAACGTCTCAAAAATGGTGTCGTTCATGAATGCTAATCTTGGGATGTTGGGCTTTTGCAGATTCTTGGTGGATAACATCCCCATCAGGGTTTTCAAGAATGCAGAGTCTCTGGGTGTTCCTTTCCCGAAGAACCAGCCGATGAGGATCTATTCAAGCTTGTGGAATGCTGATGACTGGGCCACAAGAGGAGGATTGGTGAAGACTGATTGGTCCAAAGCACCCTTCACAGCTTATTATCGCAATTTCAAGGCCACAGAGTTCTCATCCAAGTCTGCAAGCTCGTTCTCTGACGCAGCATGGCAGAGCAATGAGCTTGATGCATATGGAAGAAGAAGGCTGAGATGGGTTCAGAAGTACTTCATGATCTATAACTACTGCAATGATCTCAAGCGATTCCCACAGGGTCTCCCCACAGAGTGTAGGCATCCGAGGTTCTGATGAGAGGTGAAGAATGTTTATTATGGCTTTCAGTCGGGCTTTGTAAAATATTATATGGCTATCTTATCGCTATTCTTTTATTTTAAGTTTCGCTTATATAGTTATTTACTTATTAAGAGGTTCTGAATAAATTAATTCTTCGTACCACTTTCTCTTTTTCAAGTCCTTCATGTTGGAATGAGTCTGTTAATAAATTTAGTTGAGCTTAATAGTCTTACAGCATGTTGGCATTGACAATTAGATCTATATAGATTTTAATATTCATGCTAACTTTGTAAAAATGGGATGAAAATCAGATATATGGAAGATAATTTTAATTGCCTTTAGAAAGTCAAACGTTGATTATTGAAATTGAAGCCGATACGTGACACAAAGTTTCTTTCTTTCTTTTGGAATGGAAAAAGTTTCTTTATTTCAAATTGAACATAAACATGCCAAGAGCGCCGTTTATTTTCCATGAAGAGGGCTCCAAGCTTTGTGTGGAACCTTGTTGCTATTGATTTATTAGAGCTTGGGATGCAGTAACATGTAAAACGCTATTCATTTTTTCTTGCTTCAATGTCAACATATTAGTTTCTTGACTTTCTTCAGATAACTTTGGACATTAATTAACAGTTTACAGCATTTGAAACAAATAATAACGTCCAGAAGCATATTTCAGCCTTAATAAGCTCATGGAATTCAAACTCGCCTAAATTTGAGTATAACAAATGACAACATGACCTTCAGGTGTCTCCTCCGCCCGTCAATAGTTCCTCTATGTCACTACATCCAAACAAAATGAATAAATACAACATTTAAAGAGTCCGATCTGTAACCCTGAAGATCTTTTTTTTTTTTTTTAAGAATATGCTTCATAGCTCCGGCCTCCGGACACTGAACAGAACTCTGATATTTTGGTTTCTTCAAATACCAATCATAATCCACTCCCATGTACAAGGCATTTCCGTACAACTTGGAAAGGTTACAGTGCGCCATATACAAGTCATTACTTGTTACTTGCTTGGAAGTCGTACTTGCTACTTTTGCATGGACAACCTGCCTGGTGAAATGACTTTTTCTTCAATGTAATTTGCGAATTTAACCCTTGGTTGATGAAAGCTCTGATTATTAAAAAAAAGAAACTCTTTTTAAGAGTTTTTTTTTTTGTGCACAATCTATTGAAAATGACGCTTAAGTATACAAGTAAGGGCATACCGTGATTCTACTATGGATGTTGAGATCATCGTTCATCTGGCTAAGGCGTTCCTTGGCTGATTGTTCTGCCGCAAATGCTTTCAAGCAAGCTTCCTTTACCTAAATCAGATAGCAGAAGAAACTGAGCCAATATTTCCATTCCACAAATGCCATTTCCAGAGATTAGAGAACAAGACATGGTGAAATTGAATACGATAGCAAACCTTAATGAAAAAAAGGGGACAAAACGCACTATACTATTGGTGGGGGAAACAAAAATGAGATACCGTATTCAGAAAAGCAGAAACGCAGAGTACGTAAAGGCAAAAAAATATTTTAAAAATTAACATAAAAGGGGTGATCTTGATCCATTAGTCTTGTCCAAAATAAGATACCATATTCAGATCATATAGAACTTACCTGATTTTCATCAAGAACAGAGTAATTATTAGCACCATCATTCCGCCTTTCTAACATGTTTCTTAAATGAGACAGTTCCTTCATAAGGTCTAGGGCAACCTCTTCGGCATCTAAGAACTGATTTCTCGAGAATTCAAATGCTCTCTCTGCATGAAGACGAAAAGAAGCACAGTTCAAACATGTGCAGAGTCCTCTACATCCTCTCGGATTTCTTTTAAGAATCCCCTTTTTCAGACCAACAGCGGGGATTGTGTGTTTGTCTAAGGCTTTCATTTGCAACTCCTGACTCTGCAGATTTGTATTGAGTGGCATCTCTCCATTTGAAGAATCTCTTTTGGCTTCACCGTATACTGATAACTGAAGTGAGGCAGATGTAGAATGTTCTCCGGGCATAACATTCATAATTGGAATTGAGGGCAAAAATAGAGAATCTATTTTAGCAACAGAATTTGGCAAGTTAGGAGAACACTCCAAATTGCAATCTCCATTGAATAGAGTATCTACCGTTGTAGTATCTTGGATAGCATTTACTTCAACAGTATCATGTATGGGGCATCTGTCTGTTTTAAGTTCATCTATAGTGGACTCTTGGCTTTGAAGCAGCAAAGGAAGTTGGGGTCTCATACCCCTCTCGTCTTTCTGGTCATGACCCAATTTCGGTGCACCTGTAAAATTATTAGGCCGATCAGCTTCGTAATTCAAATTTAGTCAAAACATCGAAAGAAGCTTATTTTTTACGAGGGCCTGATAACAAAGGTTAGTTACCACAATCATCCTTGGCAATATCCTTTAGAAACGGAAGCAACCTTTTGTAGCTTACTGAACCTGGTGTTTTGAAGAGCTTCCTCTGCAAACATGGTTTGAGCACCTGCGAAAAACTCAAATCAAGTCCATATGGGCATTGATTGTAATAGCATATTGGCAAGTTCGATCATGGCATACTGTAATAGCAGAAAAGTGTAATAGCATATGGCAAGTTCAAACATTGTAATAGCATATTGTAATAGCAGAAAAGTGTAAAGAAAAAGGGTACTCTATAGTTACAAGTTAAGGTCAACATATGGCACAATCATGGCATTCTTCATGAGCTATGGTTTTAAGCTAACTATTCGGCGCAATCATAATTCAGCTAAAGATAAGTGAATAAAATCTGAAAGGTCGACTGATTCTTACAGATTTACTCCTTAGAACATCATCTTTTCCCTTCGTAGCATGTGAGCAAAATCCCTCTCCAGCATTTGCCTGAGTACTTGGGGTCAAATCCAAAGTATTGACAACATCTGTGCTGCAGGGAATATTCTTATTTTCACCACATATATCAGCATCAGGGAGACTTGAACATTGTTGGTTCATAGCACAGTGTTCATCTGAAGTATCTACACCTTCAATAGCCTCTGCTTTGCAGCCATGAACCTTGCTGGGAACAGCATTTGCAACATTCTTGTCATAGTGAACATCTACGACTTCCTCAGCCTTTATGCTGCTCGAGCATTCGAGACTTATCACAACATTCTTGATGTGTTCATTCACAGAAGGCACAGATGAACAATCACAAACCACTTCTTTAGCGCTCGATTGCTTTGGCGATTCAGGCAAGTCTTGGTAAGACGACAGTTTTGATTCATTACCATCATTATTATCATTCCTGGGCCGACTGTTTGCCCTAAGTTGATTTGTCGAAGCTTCTTGGCTTGGAGATGGCGAAGGAAATTGGAATTGCTTTGCATCATTAACCTTTTCATCGTTTTGGCGACGACCCAATATTGTAGTACCTACAAAATTATTAGGCCATTGAGCTTTTTAATTATACACGCCTACATGCACATATGGCATCACAAGGACCTAGTGGCTTGAAATAGTTACCAGAATCATCTTTAATCATATTCATTATAAATGGAAGCAGCCTTCTGTAACTGACTGAACCTGGACTTTTGAACAGTTTCCTCTGCATGCGTGGTCTGAGCACCTGCATAATATCTCGTATCAAAATTGGATTCCCACTGGTTTTAAAATTGTATTGTCAAGATAACGAAACAAAACAAAGAAAAGAAAAGTGCTAGAACGTTGACAACAGTTTGTCAATATATATCCCCAATAATAAATTATTCATCATCCATAGGTTCAACGTAATTGAATAATTCATCATAAAGAGCAGCGACTAAATGCCTCTTCCAAAACTGATCGGAAACTAAAATTTAAAGGGGTTAGAGATTCTTACATATTTGTTCTTTAGAGAATCGTTTTTGATGTCAGCGTTTGGACAAAGAGATTCTTCCGCCTTTCCATCAGTATTTCTGGTCAACTGTGTATCTTTGATATGAAAAGCCTCTACTTGTTTTCCTCTATCTTTATCAAACTTTACCGTACCACACGTCTCGATATCATCAGGAGGAGTCCTTAGTTTAGGTACTTCGTTTGCATTGTCAAGTCTCTCGAAAGCACCTGTACCATCATGATAACTGTTGAAATGTTTGCTCTCGCCCACCGATTCATGATCTGCATGGTCCATTTTCTGAGCTTTGTGGGGGAAGCCCACAGCAGGGCTTTCGGTTTCTCTGTTCGTCGTATTAAAGGCGCAGTCAGAATAGAGATCATCATCCTTCTCAGATCGATATTCTTTTGCGACTGAAAACAAAATAGAATTTATTCCATCCTTACTCCGACCTTCTGAAGGCAATCTTTCATCCAGGCCAGCAATCTCGCCATCCCTCTTCGAAACTTCCCCTGCACGGCCATTATTTTCTTCGGTCGAAGCAGATCCGGAACCAGAATCAACCATTTCCAGATATCCGCAACTAGATCTGACCTTTGATTCCACATTATCGACATTTGGACTCGAGTAAGAAAAAGACACGCCAACGGATTGTGGGGAATAGACTCTCCTGGCACGAAGGTCCTTTATCAGAATGTGAGGCGGATCACCATCGTCTTTGACGGAACTATCTTGACTCAGCTTCGCTTTCTTCCAAAGATCACTGACTAGCATGCGGTCGTCATCGTCATCCGAAGAGTAGATGACCGAATCGCTTTGACAGTCTGCGCTCGACGACTGAAAATGACCGGTGGGGTTACGATGGCGGAGATGATATTTGCTACGAGTACTGACTCCCGAGAGGGTAAGAGATGGCGGTGGTATCGGCTCAGTGGAGCTTCTTCTAGTCGTATCCATGGCGGTCGCGAGGCGCTCTGGCAAGGGAGTAGGAGTAATTGGGATAATTGGCGGGAAGGTCGGGAAAATGATGTCCAGTACTCAACACTTGGTGGCGGGAACATTCGGCCATCCTTGGCGGGAAACTAGGTCGCGTCTTTCTTTCTCCCTTTCTTTTGTCTTTTTCTTTTCCTTTTCTTTTTATTAAAAGACAGAGACAATAATTTATCATTCGAAGAGGCCATTTTGGCCAGATGGAAATGTTTCTCTCCCATTTTTTCCCCGAACTTTCCCATTTTCACAATTCATATTATTTTATTAAATAATTTTTAATTATAAATTTAATGAATGATGAGAATCGAGAAAGTGGAAAAAAGATGAGAGGGAAAAGAAAGAGGAGAGACCCCTTCCCAATCTGAAATACCGACCTGAGTCCGTTGACCGAAAAAATCATGTCAAAGCAATTTTTTATTCTTTAAAATAAAAGAATTCAAAGTGAGAAAATGTTGCAAAGATGACAACACAATTTACATAATACGTCTCAAATATGGCATCATTTTAGCAACATTCTAACAAAATTCAATCTTATATTTTTAAACGATATTTTAAAGACCTTGTTTGGAACAATGTTAATTCGAGAGTTAATTATATTGTTTAGGCTTTTTATATATTTTAATATTATTAATTTTTTTGTGATTAGATCCAAATTTTATTATTAAATTAATTTATAGGTATAATAAAATATTAATTAATATAAACATTATGCTCATATTAATTATGGAAAACAAGCTTTTTTATTTTTTATTCTTAACCCATGTTCTGGTAGCAATTTAATAAGCAAGTTTTTATATGTCTTGCTGTTAGGTATAATTTTTTAAAATAAATATTTAATTAATTTTTTTTTAAATATGTTTTATAGAGTACTAATCTCTAAATAATAAAATAAAAATAGTTTCAACCTACCTTTTTTTTTTTTGTTTTTCTAAAAGCAAAGATAACGTCGACCTTTTGAGACTGATGAATGGGAATTGGGAACATGGTGTTTAATTAGGCCCCGTGTTATTGGGCTAGAAAGTCACAATTGTGTCCAGTCCACCAGGATCAGAATATCAAGCCCAGTATTTGTTAACTTTGGTTTTGTGGGAATTGAAGGGTGCATTTGCCTCTCCTCAAGTACATGTAGTCATCTGGATGCACAAGAGTATATGGGAATCTGGATTACATTGCTATTATACTGAACTCAGCCAAGTACCAGGAATCACTAAAATGAATCAGGATTACATGCCAAAACCACAATCATGATTTACTAATGTGCTCCAACCGTTTCTTTTTAATTATTATTTATTTTAATAAATAGTATAAATTTAGATTTAAAAATCTAAATTTAAGATGAAAATTGAAATCTTCATCATCATTGTAAAGCAATTGAAAAGTAGCTTGGAATTTTAAGCAAGACAACATTACAAATTAAGTTTCAGGACCCCCACAATTAATCTTAAGATCAAAATCCACCCCACATTAAAAATACAAATTGGACAAACTTAAAATGATAATAACACTACCAAGAGATCACTATTAAATCGCTCCCTCTCATAAACAATTCAAGATACAATGACTAAGAAGGGGACGATATAGTGACTTTGTGTGAAAGCAAAAACCAAAAATTTCAAAAGACCATAAGTTCAATTTCCTACTCTGACCAACTTGCTTCCCCTTCCTAATTCAACTACAAATGAAATATCAAGGAGAATCAGAATAAATATGTCAGAACACATGAAATTTTACCTTCAAAGCAACCTCCAAGCCTCTCCAATTTATCTCCCTAATTTGTTCTAGCAAGATCGCTTTATCACCACAATATATCCCGTAAGTCACTGAAAGAGAAGTTTTTTTTCTTTTTACTTTGTAGGAGTAGAATCAGCTTTCACAAATGCAAGAGGTGAGAAGGATAGTGGAATTGAGTCCGTCAAAGAGACAAGATGCAAGGCGTGGATGAGATGCAAGACGGTGAGGGACAGACAAGGAATGAGAGGTGCGAGGTTGAATGGTTGATTGCCTATGGCTGAGGGTGTGAGGCAGGGGGAGACAAGTAAGGACAAGCAAGAGGCAATTGCAACGTCCAACAGGGTTCAGAAAGTTGATTGATTAGAATTCAACAACAGGGTTCCTTTTTTAAACCAATCAAACGTGCATTCCACAAGAATTTTTAAAAAAATGGTAATAAAATAATAAGGCCTGAAAGGCTGTCCGAGCTCTTTTTTTATAGGGATTATTAGAGTTAGGCTCTCAAGCTTAATTACTTTAAAAAATATAAATTTTAAAGTCCAAAACTTTATTTAAATAAGGCCTTTAAATTCGACCCTTATTCTAACTCTAACAGTTCCTTATTTGTTCATCCCCGCAAATAATTCACACAATTTCCCCACACGAGACTGGAAAACACTCATCCCTCTCTTATAATTTCTTGCCTATCGTTGTCTTAGTATCGCTCAGTTTCACTCAACTACACCGTCCCCACAAAATCCTATTCTTTGTACTTATATGTGTCATCTCATTCTTTACTAGTGACTGATTGGTCTAATTATTAATTCCTTCCCATGAGCCTCCGTTGCCATGGTTCAACACCACTTTCTTCTCGTCATGTTCCCAACTCAAGGCTACCTCATTCTCACGCTCCAGCTCGTCCACAAACTTATTGGCACGGGCGTCCTCATCACTCTCACCGCCACAGTCCATATGCTCTGTCACATGGACAAGACCTCGACTATTCCTAGCCTCTTCGTCGCTCCCTTCTCTAATGGCTATGATGACAGTTTTAAACCCGATCGATGAAGGTAATGACAATACTGTTTCTAGCATGGAACACTACTTTTCGTAGCTTTGGTGTTACATTTCAAAATTTCTCACCAACTTGGTAGCCTCCATCATGTATAATGGTGGTCATCCTTTCACCTACATAGTGCACACCATGCTTCTTCCTCGAGCGACAAAGCTTGCACGCCAACGTCATGTTTCATCAGCCCTATTGTGGCTCTAACAGGTTAGGAGTCTTTAATATGCCTTTCTTTAATGTCCCTTATAATGTCCCAACGTCCCAATTTCATTTGTCGTCTTTCTTTGGATCATTAGTTTCTACATAAAATAAGAGACATTTGAATATCTTGATGTTTCAAAATGATGAAGATTTGTATTTTTTATGATTTTTTAAAGAAAGATATCACAAATGCACCCTTTATTTTTAAAAAATAATAAAAAATATAAATCTTCATCATTTTTGAACATCAAGATATCCAAATGTCTCTTATTTTATGTAAAAGTCAATGATATAAAAAAATAAAAAATAAAATTAGGACGTTGAAATATTATAAAAGATATTAGAAAAGGGCACTTTAAAAACCCTAACTCGGCTCCAACCTGCCACGGTATTCCACATCTACTATTACTACTTGGAGGATGACAACGAACAAACTTTCATCGATTTCCAGTTTAATAGAGCTACTGGGGCTGCCACCTCTGGAACCGCGGGACCTCCCGTCATTGATGAAATCCCTGTTCGGCGTTTGTGCTTTTCTCCTTTCATCGTTCAGAGAGGATCTCCAAAACCTGCTACAAGAGCCCGATGCAATAGTGCCAGTGAACAAGTTCGAGGAGCTAGAAGTTGATGCTTTGAGAGCCGTCGCTGACAGTTTCAAAATGATGGCAATCGGCCCATTAGTGCCGTCAGTTTTATTACACGGAAAAGACTCGGCGGACAGTTGCAATTATGACTACACGGAATGGTTAGATTCAAGACCAGAGTCGTCAGTGATTTACGTATCGTTTGGAAGCCTATGCGTGCTATCCAAGAGACAGATGGAGGAAATAGCACGCGGGTTGATAGACAGCGAGCGTCCATTCTTGTGGCCAATTAGAGAAGAGAAGGAGCAAGAGAAGGTGAGCGAGTATATGGAGGAAATGGAGGGAAAAGGGAAGATAGTGAGGTGGTGCGAACAGGCGGAGATACTTTCACACAGGTCGTTGGGGTGTTTCGTGTCGCATTGCAGATGGAATTCGAGCTTGGAGATTTTGGCGGCAGGGGTGCCGGTACTGGGAGTGCCTCAGTGGGGAGATCAGACCACAAACTCCATGTTGATGGAGCAAGTGTGGAAAACAGGGGTGAGGGAAAGGGTGACGGACGACGGCGAAATTGTAGGCGCGGATGAGATAAGGAGGTGCGTGGAGAAGGTGATAAGGAATCCAGAGAAAGAGAGAGACATGAGGAAAAACATGGCGAGATGGAGATGGAGGGAAGTGTCCAGAGAAGCTATGAAGGAAGGTGGTTCCTCTAATAGTAATATCAGAGCCTTCTTGGATGGGATCAGCTTGGTGGCCGCACCTCATAGTTAGTTTTACTTTACTATTAAGAATAGGAATGATTTATTAATTGAATAAGAATGATTACTTACCCAAAAAAGAAAAAGAATGATTAATTTGGTCTTTCTCTTCATTAGGTGTCTCCGTTTAAGGCTTTATAGACTTTGGAGCCTTTTTGTCTGTTATACAAACCGTCAATTGTATGGCAGGCACGGGCGAGCGGTCCACCTTCAGTGCTCCAACATTGTCGTTGGCGTGATGAGATTTCAACAATTTATATTTTACTTATAATCCAGATTTAAAGAATCATTATATATTTTTATTTTATATTTATTATAATAAATTTTATAAAATAATATTAATAATTTTCTTATTCCTAATCCGATCTAAATTTAATTTAAATAATCGAATTCAATAATAAAATTTTTATAATTATTATATCCTAAAAGTACTCTATATAATTTAGATTTAAAATTTTTAATTTAAATTTTTTAAAAAATATTTTTAAGAAATGCAAGTTTTATATATTTTATATTTTCAATATTATATTTGTTAAAATAAATAATATAAAAAATTAATATTAAATTTGGACTATACAAAATGTAGGGTACATAAAGATAGTAAATATATAAAAATTATAAAAATCTTGATATTAAAATAGACCTTTTAAATTAAATTTAGATCAAACTAATGATAAAAAATTTATTAATTTATTAATAATTTTTATAATTTTTTTATTTTAATAAATATAAAATAATACTTTAAATTTAGACTATTTAAATCAAAATCTAAATAATTTAAATGGTACTCATTAATGTGATAAGCACTGAAATTGAGTTTGTACTTAGCAAGTTGGGGTTAGCCTAGCCACAGATTCTCTGTTATATTTTTCATGGCTTTTTTTTCAATTATTCTATTCAAAATCAATCACAATTAACTTAAGACATATCTTATTTTGCAAAGCATATAGTCTCAAATCTTTGATTTGTCACATCTATATGGTCAAAAAGATTCTGTTAGTCCCTCTTAGTTATTGAATTTATTTGAAAGTTATGCTATGAGAATTTTGTTTGTCTCTCTTAGATGTAAAATATTATGCTTGACTATGGAATCCTATTTATCCCTCATAGTCCAAAAAAATTAAGGTATTATTGATATAACTAAATTCACTTATAGGTGTTGATTAGTTAGTAAAAATTTGTTTATGATGTGGACAGTCCTATAATATTTTTTTATTAAGGATGAGTGTTAAATTGTGATGAACATATGTTGAAACTATTTTGGATATTGTTAAACAAGCATTTGTTTGGAAAATGCTCTTACTTAAACAAGATTCGTTTTATATTGAGTTGGATGTACATTTGGGTCATATAGTTATGTCAAAAATTTGTATTTAAAAATTGTTTGGAATTTTGTCACTTTGAGTTAAGCTTTTGTGCTAAATTTTAATTTCAAAACTATTTTTTCTTGATTTTTGACACTACTGTCGAATAGCACCAAAATTAATAAAAACTAGATTTTGCAGTAAAGTGCAACCTAGGTCGTCTCCCTAAGAGTCAATAGAGTAACTATTTAAATTATGATTATGAAAAGGTAAATAATGGGGGGGTTTTTTTATGATGAAATTAAAAACTAAATTATAAATAAATAAATAGAGGAAATTCAATTAAGAAAATTACCGACAACAAGCAGCGCAATCAATCACAACCCAATCACCTAAATTTAACCTTCCTCGTCTACAAAATAAATTAATTTTATTCAACTTTATTATTCTGGTTTCATTATAATATTTCTCAAATTATCATTCAAGAATTAAACAAGAAGTTAAGTTATAGATTAATTGAAATCTCCTTTAACCCACAACCTAACAATTGTTTTATAGTCACACCAAAAACAAAGCATGGATAATCACCCAAGCCAAGCCAAATTACTCTTACAATGCTATATCAATCGATTATAGCAATTAAAACCTCAGATAAAATTTATAACTCAAAAATTATGCAATAAAGCTACTCTAATCAGTAATAGTAATTAAAGCATAAAATTTAGAGGTAGAGAGAAGAAGAGAAAATTGGAATAAAGCTAAAATAAAATCTTTCCTGAATATTAAAGACTCTGATTAAAATTTAGGATCATGGTTTGTGATTGATCACACCAAAAAAAAATTAGCTCTTCATAGAATTAAAAATCAAACAACATGAAATGAAAAATTGAGAAGCCATCACCCAAGAAATTGGAAGAAGGAAAGACGAATGGCGATCGCTGCTCTGTTTCCCTTCTTTCCTTTTTTTTTTTCCCAGATCGTGCTTCCTCTCCGTCCCCCATCTATTCATATATATATATATATATATATGAAAAGTGGACCCTAATTAAAAATTACACTAAATAATCCAAAATAAATTCAAATAAAATTTTAAAGATTTGATTCTTGATTTGATCTCCAAGCATGCCCATATTCTTCTTATCCAAAATATTCTTCATCAATATCTTTCAAATTGAATCTAGAAAATCTGCACAAATAAAATAAAATTAAATAGCACCTGTGCAAAAATATTAAAGATATTATTTATATTTTAAAATCAAAGATTTAGTTAGTTAAAATTCCAAAACTGAATATTAGCTAATAAAATCAAATAATATCTAATTAAACTCAATTAGCCTTAAATAAATAATTAAAAGTCTAAATTAAAAGAATAAAAATATATAAAATTATCATTTATCAATTCCCCCACACTTAGACTTTTGCACTCCTGGGCAAAACTTAAATCTCAAATTTAAGAAAAGAACTGTGGAAGCAACAAAGAATAAGAAATAATTATAGCTCTTCAACATTTTAACACTTTAATCAATATCTCTTATATTGAGAATAACAAGTATCATGGCAATTTCATTTGGTAAGAATAAATTAAGCAATAACCCCTCACAAAGGTCAAGTGTTTAACTCTCAACTCTCAAATGTATATAGGTAAGTGTTTCACTCAAGTTCCCCTATTAAAACCTCACTACCATAGGCTTGTTTATCATCTAGGTCTCCACTATTTATGTCATATGCAATGTAAGAATCAATAGGACTTTAGTTTAGGTTGTAATGGGGCTTAGGTAAAGGTATGATATAGGAAAATGAAGGTTAATAAACTTTAGGATAATGAAAAGTATATTTGAAACGAAATATATAGAATGAAAGAAACAAAATAAATTGATTTGGGTTTATTTTTCTCTCTTTATTTTGTTTTCCTTTCCTTTGCTTCATGCACCTTTTTTTTTTTGTTGTGTTATGACTTTTATGCTCTTTCTTTTCTTTTCTTTTCTTTTCTTCCTTTCTTTCTTTGCTTTTTTTTTCTCTCGTTTTTTTTTTCAAAATAACCCAAATCTCTCTTCAAGCATATTCTTTCATTCCAACAAATATTATAATACACTTTTCATCACCTAAAGTGGGGTGAGAAGAATGAAAGGAAAATATTTTTATAGGTTATGTTTTCAATTGGCTAAAATTTTAAAGAAAAGGTTTAGGCTCAAAGGGGCTAACAAGGGATAAATTACATGGGATGGCTATTTGGCTAAGTAGGCTAAAAGAATGCCTAAATCATCTTCATGCAAAGCATATGCAATTATAGTCTCAACTAAGAATCAAGACAAGTTCTAGAGTGGGAGTAGTGATAGCAGAATACACACAAAAAGAGAATAATATTAGGCTCAAATCTTTACAAGCTAAAGGCTATCACATTAATTCATTGAAACCAAACTCATGCCACTTAACTTAAATTCTAAACATAAGATCAATTACTTATCATGCTCAAATGCATTCAAACTAAAATTGTCTTAAATTTGCAACTTCGCACAAATTATTTTTTTTTATTTTTTTATTTTGAAAACAAGAACACAAAAATAAAAAAAAATGAAAACAAGAAAAAAAATTAGAAACAGCAAAAAACCTCCCCCCACACTTAAAATCTACAATGTCCTCAATGTAGAACATAGTTCGAAAGATGTATAGGAAAATGTAAATTAAAAGTGAAGAGAAATGATACAACCTGATCGATTAAGTATTATCTTGGAGGGAAGACTCCTCCACAATGTGTGTCTCAAATCCATCATAAAAATGCTTTAACCGATGCCCGTTAACTTTAAACTTTGCTCCAGTAGATTCTGCCATAATCTCTACTCCACCATAAGAAAACACTTTAGTAACTATAAAAGGACCTTCCCATCTAGAACGAAGTTTTCCTGGCATAAGTTTCAATCTGGCATTATAGAGTAACACTTTTTGTCCCACCTTGAACTCTTTTCTAACTATCAGCTTATCATGTATTAACTTGGTCTTTTCCTTGTAGATTCTTGAATTTTCATATGCTTCCAAGCGAAATTCTTCAAGCTCTTGCAATTGATATTTTCTTTGGGCTCCTGCTTTAGTTAAATCCATATTGCACTGCTTTACTGCCCAATAAGCTTTATGCTCAATCTCCACAGGTAAGTGACAAGCTTTCCCAAAAACAAGCCGATAAGGAGACATTCCGATTGGAGTCTTGTAGGCAGTTCTGTATGCCCACAATGCATCATCAAGTCTCTTACTCCAGTCTTTCCTATTAGGTTGCACTGTTTTTTCAAGAATCTGCTTTATCTCTCGATTCGAGACTTCAGCTTGCCCATTAGTTTGGGGGTGATAAGGGGTAGCCATCTTATGCACGACCCCATACTTACCCAATAAACTCTGCATGCTCCGATTACGAAAATGGGTGCCTTGGTCACTGATAATGGCCTTTGGAATACCAAACCTGCAAAAGATATGTGATCTAACAAAATCTACAACAGCAATAGAGTCATCAGTTCTGGTGGCTTTAGCTTCCACCCACTTAGAAACATAATCCACAGCTAGTAAAATGTAAGCAAATCCAAATGAAACAGGAAAAGGTCCCATGAAATCAATACCCCATACATCAAATATTTCACAGAAAAGTAAAGGTTGTTGAGGCATCTCATTTCTACGGGAGATATTTCCTGTATGCTGACATCTAGCACAATGTTTACAAAATGTA